GTGTGAATGAAACAAAACACAACTCCAGGTCTGTTTTTGAGAAGGCAACGACATTATATCAAGACTTAACGCTCACAAGAGTCAGTTTTGCGTGATATAGAACCTCACAACAGAGAAGCTGGTTCCGTGTTTTGTTTTTTTATAAAAAAAGTCTCAAGAATAATAAAGTTACAATCCACTGAAGATGCAAACAGAATAAACTTGCCTGTGTACTAGTGTTGTAGTCAAGAGCGCACTAATCCAGACCAAGACCAGTCGGAGACCACAGGGTCCCAAGACCAGGACAAGACCGAGACCTCTGAGGGTCGAGACTAAAAGACCAAGGCTGCGTTCAGACTGTAGCCTGAAGTGACCCAAATCCGATTTTTTGGCCCCTATGTGACTTATATCTGATCTTTTAATGACAGTCTGAAGCGACACAGATCCAATTTTTTCAGATGTGACCCAGGACCACTTGGATATGTGCTCCTGAAACTGATACATATCTGATCTTTTGACATGTGACTTCAGTCTGAACGGCCAAAGTACATTCATGCGACCTACATGTTATCAACAAGACACAAACGTCACTATTCTGCGCTGAAGTAGGCGAAAATTGTTAATGAACTCCGGGTCACTGAAGCGAAGCACATCACCACTCATCACTCTTGGCTACGTCTCCACATCCACATGTTCCTTTCAAAGGACGTTGCTGCCACTGCCCCACAAAACGCCACGACCAAAAACCTCGTCCTTCTCAATCTCCTTAAAACAAGTAAGTTGTTCATGTTCTGGCTCCAGTACAAGGGGAACTTTAAAATCTCCAGGTGCTCAATGCTCGTGTCCATGTTTGGACAACTTCCGTAAACACAGGGCCATTTGACGTTCACACAGGAGATCGCATACAAGTCACATTTAATTGGAAATGTGAACGACCTCGCAAAAACATCGGATTTCACAAAAAAATCGGAATTGAGCGTTAAGCCCTGCAGTCTGAATGTAGCCTAAGACTTTTAAAGGCTGAGACCAGGACAAGACCAAGACCACGGCCCATTGAAACCAAATCGAGACCGTCTTTGTCATTTTCTGTATTTATCTGTATTTTAAAGTTATTTTGGCTCATTTATATCAGTGTTTTTTATAAATCTAGCTCTATTCTAAGGGCTGGGTATTATTAGGAAGTTGCCGATACAATACATACCTCGATACATAGACCACGATATGATACATATCTCGATACAGTGCACTTTCAATTCGATACAGTATTTTTCAAATCGATTCGCTATGGTTCAATAAAAATCCTGGCTAAATGTACATGACTATGATACTAAAAGTCTTTGTTAAACCACTTCTTGTGCAAAGTTCATATGAAACACAAACATTTTAATCATCAAAACAGTGAAAATGTCAAATGTGTTGCATAAAAGAGTTTCCTTCCTCTAAATAAACAACAAAACTTTAGCACTCTTAACAAAATGATTGAGTAAAATATACCAAAAAATACTCGCGATATCGATACAGTGTCATCACATTAAACAATATGATGCATCAATATTTCTATATTTTGCACATCTCTACTTCATTCTATCTAATTAAGGTTCATTTAATTTTAGAATATGATAAGCAAACTGTACTGCACTGAAACACTCTGCGCCCCTTTTTCACACATGTTGAGTGTCAGACCTCGAGTTTGAGACAAGACCGAGACCAAGCTCCTTCAAGACCGAGACAAGGCCGAGTCTAAATGTACTCGAGTCCAAGACGAGACCAAGACCGTAAAAAAGCACTCTCGAGGCCGGTCTCGAGGACAAGACTCTCAACACTGTTGTGAGCAGACAGTGGTGGATAATACGATTTGGAAACCGTGACAAAGGGAAGGAAAGAAAACAAGCCCAGGTCTATACAACACACTTTACTGATCTGTGAGGAGAATCACTTTGAGACAGTTAATCATACACAGTTAATTACAAAAACAAGACTATCAAAAAATAAATGGTAATAAACAGTGTTGGGGAGTAACAGATTACATGTACTGGAGTTAACGTATTCAGAGTACAAATTATGAGTAACTGTATTCAGTTACAGTTACTGTTAATTGGATTACAGTTGAAATAAATGGATTACACACAGGTATTTTCCTGTTTTGACATTTTGGGCTAAGCAAGGACTAAACCAGGTCTAAACCAGGTCTAAACCAGGTCTAAACCAGGTCTAAACCAGGACTAAAACCAGGTCTAAACCAGGACTAAACCAGGTCTAAACCAGGACTAAATCAGGACTAAACCAGGTCTAAACCAGGTCTAAACCAGGAATAAACCAGGTCTGAACCAGGTCTAAACCAGGTCTGAACCAGGTCTAAACCAGGACTAAAACCAGGTCTAAACCAGGTCTAAACCAGGTTTAAACCAGGACTAAACCAGGACTAAACCAGGTCTAAACCAGGAGTAAACCAGGTCTGAACCAGGTTTAAACCAGGACTAAACCAGGTCTAAACTAGGTCTAAACCAGGTCTAAACAGTATGAGACCTAACAGAAGGGTGGACATACTCATATAAATTTGTCATTTCTCATATAAAAATAATTTCTCTGTCAATAATATTTTGAATCTGGTTAAGTTAAGACTTGACTTTTTATTTTCTTTTAACAGACAAAACATCTTACATTAACATCCTCATCTTTGTTTCTCTACAGTAAAACAAAAGTCTGTTCATGGAAACTTGGGCTCAACAGACAATTTGAAGAGAACAAACAAGAATTTTCAGGATGTGGTTTCTAGATTCATGTAGATTTAAAAAGCATGACAATATCAAGTAATCCAAAGTATTCAGATTAAGTTACTCACAAACTACATTTTGGGATATGTAATCTGTAATCTGTAGGGGAATACATTTCAAAAGTAACCTTCCCAACACTGGTAATAAAATAATGAATGGCTGAGCTAAGTTTGTAGAGGTCTAAACTACAGGATTATCCATTTTTAACCTCATAAAACTGAATACTTTATGGTTTGCAGATGAAATAAAGTCAGTAAAAGTGTTGTCCGTTCAAACGTGTGAGTGTTGTGAGCGTGTGCAGAGTTTGGTCTTAGCCTTGAACCCCCTCAGAGCTGGTTACATAAGAGGTGACATACTTCTGTACAGTATGTATGTCTCCCTGTACCATACTCTAATCCTGGATAAGCCATTCAAGCTTCATGTGGCAACCTGTCGCTCACGGCAACTGCACCACTTTTAAACAGGCCAATCCATGCTCATACTCTTAACTTGAAACGCTCTCTTCAAGCCTTTGGACGTTTTGAGTTTACACAACAAGTGCAAGTTTTACATCAAGCTTTTGCCTTTAAAGTTTTTTTCGGTGCTCTTTACAATGATTCAAACAAGGAATAGATATACTGTAGGCCAAAGCTTTGCAGTACAGACAGAACTCTCTCTCCTTACTTTTTTTTTTTTTTTTATCATAAAGCTCAAATAAATCAGTTTTATATGTACAATATGTTTTCTTTAGGGATGGGACGAGACAGTTTCCACAAGATGAGACGAGATAAAAGATTGGGTCCATGAGAACGAGACAAGATGAGATTTTATCATAATTCCTAATATATACATTTCACAATTTAGTTTCCAATTTTGGCTTTTTTATTTATTTGATTTCATATTTTTGTTTCCATGTTTCCAATCCAAATGTGAACAGTTAGAGAAAAAAGACTCACAAGATCATTTTTCTCTTGTGTGTACGATCTTGTGGCAGTTTTGTCTCACAAGATCTTGTCCCATCCCTAGTTGTCCTCATACAATTTATATTTAAAGTCTTCACTAATAATTCTGACTCAGTGTGATCAGCTGTAAAAAATAATGTAATCCAGCATGTTGACAGCAGCTGTGTGTGTGTCCCCTGTCTGCGGTACAGTCCTCCGTCTGCGGGACAGTCCTCCGTCTGCGGGACAGTCCTCCGTCTGCGGGACAGTCCTCCGTCGGGACAGTCCGTCTGCGGGACAGTCCTCCGTCTGCGGGACAGTCCTCCGTCTGCGGGACAGTCCTCCGTCTGCGGTACAGTCCTCCGTCTGCGGGACAGTCCTCCGTCTGCGGGACAGTCCTCCGTCTGCGGGACAGTCCTCCGTCTGCGGGACAGTCCTCCGTCTGCGGGACAGTCCTCTGTTGCGGGACAGTCCTCCGTCTGCGGGACAGTCTCCGTCTGCGGGACAGTCCTCCGTCTGCGGACAGTCCTCCGTCTGCGGGACAGTCCTCTGTCTGCGGGACAGTCCTCCGTCTGCGGGACAGTCCTCTGTCTGCGGTACAGTCCTCCGTCTGTGGGACAGTCCTCCGTCTGAGGGACAGTCTCTTTTCTCTGCATTCACACTTTGATAAAAACAGCAGTAGTTTTGTTTTGGGCCTGAACTGCACTTTTATTTATCATCGGTGTCGTGGAGTGTTTAAAGCAGCTCCTCAGTGTTGTGCGTGTGGGTCTATGGTTGTGCACAGGTATAAACAAGTGAACGTGAGTGATGTTCAGGGGCAGAACGGCGACACAGACATATGACTCCACAGATAAATATTGACGCGGCACCACATATTAGGACATTTATCTATTGGATTATTATTATTGGATTATTGGATTAAATGGACATGATATAGACTCTAACACGTCCACGTGGATTATCGGCTCAGATCAACAAGATTTAGGCCGATACCCGATATGTCTCCAAGTGTCCATATCAGCCGATAATTTCGGCCAACTGATGTTGGGCCTAGTGACATGTTCTTCTGTAACTGTCACAAGCCTCTGTCCATGTCATGAAGAGGTTTTACAACCTGATACTTGTTCTGCTCATTTTTAACTTTCTTCACAAACTTGACTGGTTTAAAACTATGATAAATGTGATTGTATGTTGAGCCTCATCTGGTCTTATGGTTGGGTGTACTCTTGTCTTTGGTCATAGTGGTCATACCTCACCTGTCATTCACCTGTCTCTCACCTGTCCCTCACCTGTCATTCACCTGTCTCTCACCTGTCCCTCTCTGCAGGTATAATCGAGCCTCACCTGTCCCTGGTCTTGTGGTTGGGCGTGTTGGCGTCTCTGGTCATAGTGGTCATCATGCCTCAGCCTCTGGGGATCAGGGCTCTGGTCATCGTCACCATCCTGCGCCTGATCTTCTCTGTGGGTTTGGAGCCGACGCTCTTTCTCCTGGGAGCCTTTAATGTGAGTATCTCCAGCAGACTATTACATCTCATTCTCAAGATATCTTAAAGTAACACTGTGTAACTTTGTGGAGACATGTCACCTGCATGATTTTGTGGAAATGTAAAGTTAAAACAGAACAAGACAGAACATTCACCATGGAGATGGAGACATTTTACAGACACATGTCATCATGTTGAACGGTATAGACAAGAACAACATTCCCATGGAACCAAGGTAGAGGCTCTCCTCCATCTCATATTATATCATTTTGGAATGGAGAATGGAAGTGTCTTGCCTAAGGATACAAAAACCATATGAACCACTAATCTTTCATAAAATAAAATAAATAAGCAAGTCAATAAAAAACATAAAAAATACTAAAGTGAGCAAATATAAAATCCAAAAGCCTCTGAGTAAAAGTGTGTTTTAAAGGGTGCTTTATTTGACCTCTGTGCCTCTAATGTTTTATGAAACAAATTTTCAGTGAACTTCACATGCTTTACCAAGAACCTGTCACACCAGTTTCACTTCCCCTCTTTCTCTCTTTTCTTCTCTTCCTCTCACACTCTCTCTTCCTCTCCGTCTCTCTGCTCTTGACATGGGTGCTGGTGGTTGGTACGCCGTGGCAATCGTGGACCGTTCTCTCGTGGCATCCTGCTGAGTTTCACAGTGAGAAGTGCGTCATTGGCCTCACACATTTTTCCTCCAAACTCTCAGTCTGTCCCATGAACAGAAGCAAAACAAAACCCATGGTCGCTCCAGACCACAGACTCTTATGTAACCACTGACAGGACTCTGCACGCTGTGAAGGCCCTGGAAACACCACATGTAAACCAGGACTAAACCAGGACTAAACCAGATCTAAACCAGGACTAAACCAGATCTAAACCAGGACTAAACCAGGACTAAACCAGGTCTAAACCAGGACTAAACCAGGTCTAAACCAGGACTAAACCAGGATCTAAACCAGGAACTAAACCAGATCTAAACCAGGACTAAACCAGGACTAAACCTAAACCAGGTCTAAACCAGGACTAAACCTTACTAAACCAGGACTAAACCACTAAACCAGGTCTAAACCAGGACTAAACCAGATCTAAACCAGGACTAAACCAGATCTAAACCAGGACTAAACCAGGACTAAACCAGGTCTAAACCAGGACTAAACCAGGTCTAAACCAGGTCTAAACCAGGACTAAACCATTACTAAACCAGGACTAAACCAGGTCTAAACCAGGTCTAAACCAGGACGAAACCAGGTCTAAACCAGGTCTAAAACCAGGTCTGAACCAGGTCTAAACCAGGTCTAAACCAGGACTAAACCAGGACTAAACCAGGTCTAAACCAGGACTAAACTAGATCTAAACCAGGACTAAACCAGATCTAAACCAGGACTAAACCAGATCTAAACCAGGACTAAACCAGGACTAAACCAGGTCTAAACCAGGACTAAACCAGGTCTAAACCAGGTCTAAACCAGGACTAAACCAGGACTAAACCAGGTCTAAACCAGGTCTAAACCAGGACGAAACCAGGTCTAAACCAGGTCTAAAACCAGGTCTGAACCAGGTCTAAACCAGGTCTAAACCAGGACTAAACCAGGTCTAAAACAGGTTTGAACCAGGTCTAAACCAGGTCTAAACTAGGTTTAACCAGGTCTAAACCAGGTCTAAACCAGGTCTAAAACCAGGTCTAAACCAGGTCTAAAACAGGCCTAAACCAGGTCTAAACCAGGTCTAAATCAGATCTAAACTATGTCTAAATCAGGTCTAAACCAAGCGTAAACCAGGTCTAAACTAGGTCTAAATCAGGACTACACCATATCTAAACCATGTTTAAACAAGGTCTAAACCAAGTCTAACCAGGTCTAAACCAGATTTAAACCAGATCTAAACCAGGTCTAAACCAGCTCTAAACCAGGTAGGACTAAACTAGGTCTATTTCAGGACTAAATCAGGACTATATCAGGACTAAACCAGATCTAACTCAGGTCTATATGAGGACTAAAGCTCTTTGTGTTGCATTTTTGTATGAAAAGTGCTCTATAAAAAAAATCTGATGTGATAAACCAGGTCAAAAGCACCTCTTATATTGACCTATATCACAATTAAACCAGGACTAAACCAGGACTAAACCAGGACTAAACCAGGACTGAACCCACTCGTACTCGACCCAGCCATCCACCCAGCTGCCACATGTCTAGAATCCTCACTTTTGCCTGTTTTTCTTGCTTCAAACATTTCAACTTTCCGCCCAAAGTATATTCCATCCAAAAATGCCGTATTGGAATTTCCAGTGGCAGGTCTCACAGTGATTTTGTACCAAAAATGTTTTAAAGACACACATGCGGTTCAACCCGACAGTGGCACCATGTTCCCAATAAAGTGTCCCACGCAGGGATGGGCGATATTGACAAAAATGAATAACTCTAAATTTATGGGGTTTTCAGAAATGACTGGTAAAACATGTCTCGAAAGTCCTTGTGCTGTTTTCCCAGTGTATTTAACATATACAAATACTGTAATATAAATACTGTATTGTATGAGCCAGAGGTTGGGACTTACAAGTCGTGACTTGGACTCGAGTCAGACATGAGTCACTATTTCTAGGACTTGAGACTTGACTTGGACTTGAGGCCTGTGACTTGAGAAGACTTGATGCTTTTCCTAAAAATATATGTTTTAGAAAATACTTTTCTCTTTACATTTGATAAATGTGGTGTTTAATTTTACAGAAACAAACTGGAACATGTCCCTCCCACTTCTCTGTTTTTTACTTTGAATGTAACTGAAGTACTGTGATGTGTATCCTTAAATGTACTACAGTAATATACAGTACAATACATTCAAACAGAGGGAATGACATAGAACTTGATGCTTCCATTTCAGTGCACACAACATGACAAAATAACTGTTATTTAACACTTAAATCTGAATTGTTCTGACTGTAATGATTCACACTAAGCTCTTGCCAAGACATTTAAAAAGCAAAAAAAAAGCTTGTATAAACACTCATATATAAATATACCTTGACTTTTAAGTAAAATTTTGTTTAAAATTCATATAAATTGCAAAAATCTAAGCTTTATTTGGTACTTTGTTTTAAGACTTGAAATGATTGAAGCTCAGACGACTTGGACTTGACTTGGACTTATGGGCCAGTGACTCGAGACTCGACATGGACTTGCCTGTATTTGCCTTTGGACTCGACTCGGACTTGGGGTCAAAGACTTGAGACTTACTTAAGACTTGCAAAACAGCGACTTGGATCCACCTCTGGTACAAGCAGATCTTGAGGTCCACTGTATGATCTGCATCGAATTATTGAGCTATTTATTGTCCGAGGATCAGGAAGTGTGTGTTACCATGCTAGTTGTTTTTAGCTGTACCGTCTCTGGTCTCTGAAAGTCGTGAAAAGCTCTTTTAAACTCACCGATTAACTTTGGAATAACTTTGGACCGCTGAAAACCCTTTAAAATGTTCTACACTATTTCTGTTTTTTATATTTTTTTGAAAGAGAGAAAAAAATTTGATACAGTGCAGTACAGTTTACAACATATCTTTTTTTAATTACTTTTTTGTGCAAGTAAAGCAGATGTCATAGAGAAAAACAATTAGTAATACTATAATGTGAAATGTAAAAAAAATAATAAATCTACCTAAAATAAACCTTTAAAAAAATGCACCAAGAAAAAAAAAAAAACTTTAATAAAAAAAATATAATAATAATAATAATAATAATAATAATAATAATAATAATAATAATACATAAAATAAAGTCATAAGTAAATAAAATGTATAAATGAATATAGGGAAAAGAGGGAAATGAAAATAAATAAATAAATAAAATGAATAAATACATAAATAAAAAGTGAGTAAATAAATAAATACAAGGAAAAACTAAATAATATTAATTCAAGACACCCAAAGCGCTTTACAGTTTATTGTTCATTCACTCCACACTCAGTGGTTTAGTATATGTAACAATATTCAAATGATATTATGCCAATCCAACAAACGTGTGCTAAAACGTGTCTTTAAGTATCAGATAAATGTAAAATGCTGAAATATTACTTTATATCCTTTAAGCTTACAACATACGATTTTCCAGTTTTTACTTTTTAAATCCCCTTTAGCAGAGTTTTGAGATTACACTCTGTCATATTTAGCACATTTTCTAAACAACAATCACAATCATGTTTACAGTCCTGGTCTACTTCCCACCTCTGCTCCTGTGCTGTTTGTTGTGACAGTGATACTCGGCCTGGGACTGTCTCATTAAAAACAGTGACAGCAGGCATCTAACCGGGTTTCTCCTAAGCCTCATCCTAATTAAGAATCCAGGTTACTCCTCTGGCTCTAACCTGGTTATGAGTCCACTCTCTCACGAGGACTGCGTCACGCTTCAGTCTGTCCCTGAAGCTCACTTTCAGTAGGGTGTGTGTTATATGTATATGACACAGGTCTACTTTTCATGCAGCTACTTTTCTAACGTGGCAGTAAAAAAATACAATCAGACTAATTGAATCTGCTAATGAGGTTACAGGAAAACTGGATTCTATATCTTGTTCTGTGTTTGTACATGAACTGGACTTAAAGGAACTGATCAGAGACCGTCCTTTTAGGTTCAAACCAACTGGATTTCGACTTTGAAATTGGCAACTCAAATTATAACTTAAATTGTAACTGTAATTAAGAATAAATCAGCATTAGAACTAGAATTAGAACTTGTAAAAAGTGTTTATAACTCATCGTGGTAAATAATTTGGATGTTCTGAATGTATAAGGGGAGTGAGGAAGAACTTTGGACCACTGCAATTTTCATGTTTTTAAGGTGGTAAAAATTAGGTACAGAGTCTTTAACTAGTTACTAAGCCTGAACCAGGGGTGTAGTGGCCGAGGTAAGTGGGGGTACGCTGTCCACCCACTTCTCCAGACGTGAGATATAAAAAATAACAAATATAAAATAGTCTACAACTTAAATGTCAAACTGGAGCTACTGGCACTGATGAAAACAAACTACATAGGCTCATGATACCTGCACTGCTGTCCTATAGAGACCTGAACCAGGACTGAACCAGGACTGAGTGTTGGGACGGGCCCAGAGGTGCTCCTGTGTAGACCGTCGGGTGACTGGAGGAGAAAGGACTATCGCAGAGCTCCGTGGCCCACAGGGCTAAACGCAGCCGTCGCCCAATCGCACTTTGCGGACACCCTGCTCCATGGGTTCAGGGTTCTCCCTCTCGCTGTGAGGTCCAAGATTAGTCCTGGTTTAGTCCTGGTTTAGTCTTGGTTTAGTCCTCGTTTAGTCCTGGGTTAGTCTTGGTTTAGTCCTGGTTTAGGCCTGGTTCAATTCTGGGTCAATGCTGTTTTAGTCCTGGTTCAACCCTAGTTCAGTCCTGGTTCAGTCCTGGTTTAGTCCTGGGTCAGTCCTGTTTTAGTCCTGGTTTAGTCCTGGTTCAGTCCTGTTTTAGTCCTGGTTTAGTCCTGGTTCAGTCCTGGTTTAGCCCTGGTTCAGTCTTGGTTTAGTCCTGGTTTAGTCCTGGTTCAGTCCTGGTTCAGTCTTGTTTTAGTCCTGATTCAGTCCTGGTTCAATCCTGGTTTAGTCCTGGGTCAGTCCTAGTTCAGTCCTGGTTTAGTCCTGGTTTAGTCCTGGTTTAGTCCTGGGTCAGTCTTGTTTTAGTCCTGGTTCAGTCCTGTTGTAGTCTTGTTTCAGTCCTGGTTTAGTTCTGGTTCAGTCCTGGTTTAGTCCTGTTGTAGTCCTGGTTCAGTCCTGGTTCAATCCTGGTTTAGTCCTGGGTCAGTCCTGTTTCAGTCCTGGTTCAATCCTGGTTTAGTCCTGTTGTAGTCCTGGTTCAGTCCTGGTTCAATCCTGGTTTAGTCCTGTTGTAGTCCTGGTTCAGTCCTGGTTCAATCCTAGTTTAGTCCTGTTGTAGTCCTGGTTCAGTCCTGGTTCAATCCTGGTTTAGTCCTGTTGTAGTCCTGGTTCAGTCCTGGTTCAATCCTGGTTTAGTCCTGTTGTAGTCCTGGTTCAGTCCTGGTTTCGCCCTGGTTTAGTCCTGGGTCAGTCTTGTTTTAGTCCTGGTTCAGTCCTGTTTTAGTCTTGTTTCAGTCCTGGTTCAGTCCTGGTTCAATCCTGGTTTAGTCCTGTTGTAGTCCTGGTTCCGTCCTTTCTTAATCCTGGTTTAGTCCTGGTTCAATCCTGGTTTAGTCCTGGTTTAATCCTGGTTTAGTCCTGGTTCAATCCTGGTTCAGTCCTGGTTTAGTCCTGGTTTAGTCCTGGTTTAGTCCTGGTTCAATCCTGGTTTAGTCCTGGTTTAATCCTGGTTTAGTCCTGGTTCAATCCTGGTTTAGTACTGTTGTAGTCCTGGTTCAGTCCTGTTTTAGTCCTGGTTTAGTCCTGGTTCATGTGTGTAGTCTGTGGTTCATGTTCTGTAGGTGATTATAAACGCCGTTAATGTTAATAACATGATTCTGCATCATTTTGAGTAAAAAAAACATCAAAAATTACTGATTTTGACTGGGCCAGCACCTTCATATTTCTACTGAAAGTGATTTATTTTTTTTATTTTTTTTAAATAAACTAACAATCAACTAACAATAGATGGGGGGGGGGACATCATTGATGACGTCACAATTTCGCGTACCTTCAGTTAAAAAATCCCCACTACACCACTGACCTGAATCATTCTTAAAGGTGCATTGTTGTGGTTTTATCGCTCAAAAATACCTGACTGTGAATGAGGTCGCCTCTCCATAGAGCTAACCTGTAACTTGGTCTGGTTCGGTCTCCATGAAGACAGAAAGGTCGGTTCAGGACAAAGCAGTAACATCTCCATGGAGAAAACATTTAACAAACCCTCTACCAAAAAAAGTTTCTTAAGTCAAATCTGTGTTTATGCTTTATTAAGATGAATTAAAGTGGAGTTATTATGAAGTGTTGCCCTCTTTTGTTTTGTGTTGCAGGTGTGTAATAAACTGATCTTCCTGGTGAGTTTCGTGGGGAATCGCGGTACGTTCACTCGGGGGTACAGAGCCATGGTGCTGGACTTTGAGTTCCTGTACCACCTCATCTACCTCATCATTTGCTGCCTCGGCGTCTTCGTGCATGTCTTCTTCTACAGCCTACTGGTGAGACGCTTCAGTCCCTCCGTCCTCGCTTTCGGGTTAAACAGACAAACCTTGGACTTTATTATAATGTGTAAACGAGGGATGTCGAGATCATCCTCATTATCGGTCAAAGATTGATGGAACAAAAGGCAAAGAAATAACAGTGGCTAGAGGCTGTTTTGTTTTTGAGGTGAGGTTAAATTATGACTAAACACCGAAACTCTGCTCAAAACCTGAGGGGGAGGGGTCTAGAGGACTAAAGGGGAGAGTAACGGCCGAGGAGGAAGAGAAGGGGCGGGGTCTGGAGGACTAAAGAGGAGAGTGAGGGGGGAGGAGGAGGGGCGGGGTCTGGAGGACTAAAGAGGGAGAGTGAGGGGGAGGAGGGGTCTAGAGGACTAAAGGGGAGGAGGGCAGGGGTCTGAAGGACTTAAGGGGAGAGTGAGGGGGAGGAGGGGTTTGGATTACTAAAGGGGAGAGTGAGGGGGGAGGAGGGGTCTGGAGGACTAAAGGGGAGAGTGAGGGGGAGGATGGGTTTGGAGGACTAAAGGGGAGAGTGAGGGGGGAGGAGGGGTTTGGAGGACTAAAGGGGAAAAGGGGAGAATGAGTCAGGAGGAGGGGTCTGGAGGACTAAAGGGGAGAGTGAGGGGAGAGGAGGAGTCTGGAGGACTAAAGGGGAGAGTGAGGGGGGAGGAGGGGTCTGAAGGACTAAAGGGGAGAGTGAGGGGGGAGGAGGGGTCTGGAGGACTAAAGGGGAGAGTTAGGGGGAGGAGGGGTCTGGGGGACTAAAGGGGAGAGTGAGGGAGGAGGAGGGGTCTGGAGGACTAAAGGGGAGAGTGAGGGGTGGAGGAGGGGTCTAAAGGACTAAAGGGGAGAGTGAGGGGGGAGGATGGGTCTGCAGGACTAAAGGGGAGAGTGAGGGGGGAGGAGAGGTCTGGAGGACTAAAGGGGAGGAGGGGATGGGTCTGGAGGACTAAAGGGGAGAGTGAGGGGGAGGAGGGGTCTAGAGGACTAAAGGGGAGGAGGGGACGGGTCTGGAGGACTAAAGTGGAGAGTGAGGGGGAGGAGGGGTCTGGAGGACTAAAGGGGAGAGTGAGGGGGTGGAGGAGGGGTCTAAAGGACTAAAGGGGAGAGTGAGGGGGGAGGACGGGTCTGCAGGACTAAAGGGGAGAGTTAGGGGGAGGAGGGGTCTGGGGGACTAAAGGGGAGAGTGAGGGGGGAGGAGAGGTCTGGAGGACTAAAAGGGAGGAGGGGATGGGTCTGGAGGACTAAAGGGGAGAGTGAGGGGGAGGAGGGGTCTAGAGGACTAAAGGGGAGGAGGGCACGGGTCTGGAGGACTAAAGTGGAGAGTGAGGGGGAGGAGGGGTCTGGAGGACTAAAGGGGAGAGTGAGGGGGGAGGAGGGGTCTGGAGAATTAAAGGGGTGAGTGAGGGGGATTAGGGGTTTGGAGGACTAAAGGGGAGGGGTCTGGAAGACTTAAGGGGAGAGTGAGGTGGAGGAGGCGGGATCTGAAGGACTAAAGGGGAGGAGGGGAGGGGTCTGGAGAACTAAAGGGGAGAGTGAGGGGGAGGAGGGGTCTGGAGGACTAAAGGGGAGAGTGGGGCAGGGTCTGGAGGTATACTGAACAGTGTGATTGGTGTCCACTCTTCAATCTCCACCCCTGGTGTTTGTATCAGAAACACTTGTCTGTACTGAGAGCAGTGCTGCGTGTTGTCACATAGTACTTGAAATAACAGAGGCCACTGAAAGCAGCACAAAAAAAATGACTAGGAACAGTACATAATGTTAAACACCATATACACAGTTTGTAAAGGCTGACACACACTACAGAAGAATTTGCCCGATTTTGGTTGGGATTTGCTTCTCCACGAGTTCGGAGAGGCGTGAACAGACTTTGTGCCTTCGTACGTGATTATGAAGCCGCTGAGCTCCTCGTGTGTGGTGTCAGTGCGATTCTGAGCTGCTCTTTCATATCGTATACGGTAAAAGACAATAAAACAGAGCGTCAAGGGCAAACAGTTACAGACACAAAGACACAAGATACAAACTCAGTAAAGCTGAAAATAGTTATTACTCATCTCTTATGAAGTTGTAAAGCTCAACTACAGTATTTCATTCATATGATCCATAGAATGTGTCCTTCGCAAGTAATGACACCCTAATGACGGTCTTTATTAAAAAAAAAGTTGATTTAGTGTTTACTTCTGCTTTAAGGTATGTTCTGTTCTTTTTAAAGACAGTATGGTAGGAGATGTATCTTATTTTTTAGACTATAAGGCACTTAAAATCCTTTAATTTTCTCAAAAATCGACAGTGTGCGCCTTCTGTATTTATTCCGGTTGTGGTTACTAACCTCGAACCGATTTTATGTGGCACACGGCACTCAAAAATCTGTGAAAATGTTTTAGTTTGACTTTGGTAAAATACGAAGCCGCACCGCTTGATGGATTGTTGGAGCAGTTTCATTTCTGTAAAATGTAAACAAATGTGACAAAGCTGCATTAAACACATTATTACTCAATGTATATTTGAGTCCTCCTTGTAGGAAATAAAAAAACAAAGACAGGGAGGCAGCGCCTGGTGAGTTACGCCACGATCTGCCAACGGATCGTGAACGCCTGGGTTAAGGATCGGTCTCAAGTGTCGTCCATTTGTTTCTCTTAATGCACCTTATAATCCGGTGAGACTTATGTATGAAAATAGATGAGAGAATTCAACATTATTGATATTGTGCCTTATAATCCAGTGCGCCTTATAGTCCCAAAAATACGGTACTTAACTTGTTGACATTCTGAAAGTACATTGTATTGTCCATGTAGGGAAATCTGTCCTCTGCATTTGACCCATTTTTCATCAGGACCCATCTCTAGATCTTGAACTAGTCTTGGTCAGGACAACCTCAGGTGGAGGATTTGACCTATGGTGCATGTTTTGGGTTAATGGTTTGAGTAGGGTGAGCTATTAATTGAATTCTAAGCACAGTTTTCAGTAATGTTTCAAATGATCCTAGTGTTTTCCTAGTCAAAAGTGCTCAAAATGGCATCTATAATATGAAAAACTCTGTAAACAAAACACCCCAATAAGCAGAAAATACTCAAAAACCTATAACTTGTCTGTAAAACATTAGATAACAGAAAAAAATCCAGTTAAAGTAGTACTAAATGCACTAGTTTTGTTTTCCACCCCCGCTGGTGAGAACTCTTTTTTACATAGTGTTAAGTGTTTCGTGGGGCATTCAAGGACATTGCGTTAAGTTTCCTTATTGGGTGATTTATTGACTGTGTTGTTAGCAGTTGTCAGATTTATATGGTCATTTATAGTGTTGGTTTGCGAACATTTTCTCACTTGTGCTTTCTCACTTCCGTAGTCACCTCTTTATTTATGTAACAAGCGAGCTGGATTTAATAAGAGGAAATAAAACACAAAACAGATCACAGCTACAGGGTCTTTTAGCGGTGTTTTGGCGCCAGACATCACGAGGAGAAAGGAGGAAGAAGGAAGAACGTAGAAGTTTCAGTTTAATTTCAGGATATTTCAAGTTACTTTGGGCTCCAGACTGGTTCTCTTTGTACAATTCTAATACAGAAGAGCTTTCAGTCTGGTCTCCTCCTCGTCCTCTGTGTCCAGTCAGATTTGTTTATTTCAGTGATACCTGAGAAACGGTGGAGCTAATTGGTCTTATTTTTCCCCCAGTAATCTTTTCTGTTTGTTTTGTCAAGAATGAACCAAGCGTTTCTCTGCACACAACCTGCACAGATGATAAAAAACATGATAAAAATGATATGTGAACAGCAAAATCGCCATTTTCTTATGACGGTTGTGCTGTTTGTTTGTCCTTTTAAAGGTCTAGAAGTCAGATCATAATCAGATTTTGGTCAGTTTGTTACCATGGAGACAAGATCCAGTTCCAGACCATAACATTTTTATCATGTACCGTATATTTCGGACTAAAAGACGCACTTTAAATCCTTTAAATTTCTCAAAAATCGACCTTATAATCAATTGTACCTTATGTATTAATTCTGGTTGTGCTTACTGACCTCGAACCAATTTTATGTGGTACACGGCGCTCAAAACTCTGTCAAAATGTTTAAGTATGACTTTAGTAAACTACGAAGCACTGCTTGATGGATTGTCGGAGCATTACGGCTACTGTGGTCAAGAACCCAGTGGAGCAAGTCTGACAGAAGCTGAACCACATCAGCGCACAAGGAAAGAACTGTCCTTATAGTTTATGCAAATGAGTCATGTGGTTTTAAGTTGCGTTTCTGTAAAATGTAAACAAAGCACAAAGCTGAATTAAACACATTATTACTCAATGTATATTTAAGTCAATGTATATTGTATATGTATATAAAAAAAAAAAAACTTGAATGATCCACACAGATTCACATTCATAATCCACATTTACCAAGACAGGGAGCCAACGCCGGGCGAGTCATGCCACGATCTGCCAATGGATCGTGGACGCCTGGGCTAAGGATCAGTCTCAAGTGTCATCCGTTTGTTTCTCTTAATGCTCCTTATAATTCGGTGCACCTTATTTATGAAAATAGATGACAGAATTCAACATTATTGATATTGTGCCTTATAATCCGAAAAATATTGTATTGTAAAAATGTGTGGTCTTGGGCATCTGGTAATTTTCAAACAAATAAACTATCAAATACTAAATGAATGCAAAATGTAGCTTCTGTAAGTGCTGTGCTCCATAATCAGGACCAAAACTGGGATATCCCATTCTTGAATTTCAAGAATTGAAAAATCATTAACTCACAATATCTGTGTGATCCATCAGTCATCCAGGTTGGTCCATAGCAAAAAGAAAATGTCACTTTTTGAACTGGACAAGAGTTTTTAGAGGAAAAAATACTTTGTCCAGAATAGGGTTGTCAAAAGTATCTAAAATCAGCTACTAATTGATACTAAAATATATGATACTATTATTATCTTGGCATTGGCTTAGTATCAAAATCAGGTTTGAAATTTTAGTATCGTGAGAAAACACTAGTCCATTTGACAAAATTAAATGTTCTTTTGCTATTAGTACACAATATTTACAAGAATCACTAAGTTATTAACAAAGATCACCACATGATTTTGGCAAAAAATATGTTATAAACCAAAAATATCTACTGTTATTTGACGTGATTCTTCCTCATTGTGTTTGTATGTGTGCAGTTGTTTGACCTGGTATATCGAGAGGAGACTTTGTTGAACGTGATTAAAAGTGTGACCCGTAATGGCCGCTCCATCGTGCTGACCGCTGTGCTGGCTCTCATCCTGGTCTATCTCTTCTCCATCGTCGGATACATTTTCTTCAAAGACGACTTCATTCTGGAGGTCGACCGCATCCAGAACACCACGCTCAGTAAGACTTCATACAGTTACTAAAGGTGCACTGCGTAACTTTTCCGGCCCGCTGTCTGCTTGTGTCCATGGTGAATTATTGCTTTGACTAGAAAGTTCCACATTTTGGCATTAAACTTTTTTATCTTGCATTTATTAAATTACAGGTGTCTACAGTGTCCAAATATTTTATAAATACTTTGTTACATTCATACTGTGAGTGGACTCGCCTCTCCACAGATCTCACCTGTAACTTGGTGGTCTTTGGTGGGGTCATTTACTTATCTCCATTGGAAATAGATGTGTTTAACGCCATATTCTGGAACAGGGATGGGCAATTCTTTTTTCCATGGGGCCACAAGAGAAACAGAAAATATTATGGAGAGACTTAAGAGTAGTATAAATATATATCGTATCGTTTAATGTAATGATACAGTATTGATATATCGCCAAGAGTATTTTTTGGTATATTTTATGAAATTATTTTGTTACAGAGCTACAGTTTCGTTTCTTGTTTAGTGGAAGTAAACTCATTTATGCGACACATTTGACATTTTCACTCTTTTGATGATTAAAATGTTTGTGTTTCATATGAACTTTGCACAAGAAGTGGTTTAACAAAGACTTTTAGTGTCACAGCCATGATTTAGCCTTTTTTTTTTTTTTTATTGAACCAAATGGAATTGAATTGATTTCAAATATATCGAATCAAAAGCTCACTGTATCGAGATATGTATTGTATCGTGGCCTATGTATCGAGGTATGTATCGTATCTGCAACTTCTTAATGATACTCAGCCCTATTTAAGAGTTTATGTTCTGACTAACCAATGAAAAAGTGAGGTTCTTTTACAAAAAATGTCTTTAAAAAAAAAGATTTAAAATAAAAGCAAAGCAGCTTTAATCCATACATGAGGTCAAATAACAAAATATGTTTATTTTGTAATTCCAAATGAGCTTAAACGAGCCAGTCAGAGTCAAAAAAAGGACTGTATGTGGCCCGGGAGACAATGCTCATGTCTGATCTGGAACTTTCTAAACAGGAATAATATCAAGCTTGTAGCAGACGCTCCACTATAAAAATGACATAGTACAGGACCATAAGATGATAAGACAATAAGACGATACAATGATACAACGATACATCAATATTACAATACAACGATACAACAATATTACAATACAACGATACAACAATATTACAATACAACGATACGACAATATTACGATACAATGATATGACAATATGACGATATGACAATATGACGATACAACGATACGACAATATTACGATACAATAATATGACGATACGACAATATGACGATACAACGATACAACGATACCACAATACGACGATATGACGATACGACGATATGATGATATGACGATACAACATTTGGAAACATACAATGTCAGCTTCCGGTGAGTTCTGTTCACAGTAGTATAATGCTGCGTTCTCTTGTGTTTGGGACTCGGGGAAAACTGACCTCCACCTCGAGAAAGTGCAATGGAATGGACAATCAAACTGGGGTTCTGAAACACAAACTCGGGCCAGTTCATAGCAAACTGAGTCGGTTGGAACATGCAATAGTTAAAATACCATAATTGACTCGCCGACAGTTAACAGCTAACATTAGCTAACAGACTAGGGTGACCATATTTCCGTTTGTGAAAACCCGGAAACCACGTGGGGGGTGGGTCCTCAACATTGAGTTACTCTCACCTCGCAACCTGTGCACATGGACTCCCACTTGTCCCGACTGGAATGGAAAACAGAGAATTTCTTGTACAAGTCATTGTTAAATGCACATTTGCGCTTCGGCATGTTGCAGACTGACCAACTGTTTGTGTCTGCTCGCTCCTTCTGAGTCACAGAGGCTATGAGAGACATTCAATTTAATGGCCCCAATGAAAGGAAATGAAAACCCAGATATTTCCCTCACTTAAAAAAAGAAACAAAAACGGACGCCCAGGACAGGACGTAAAAAACTGACATGTCCGGAGAAAAACGGACATTTGGTCACTCTATAACAGACTCTATTTTAGCAGGAACTAGCGATACCTCACATTAACTACATAAGCTAACAAAACAAACATTAAACTTTCTCGGGCATCCATATTTTCCCAACTGTTGCAATGGATGTCGGGAGAAATGACTTGGATTTATCGACTACCGGCATTCAATAGTAATGTAGGAAAAATGAGAAAATGTCCCAGTTTTTTTCATCTCCATGTCATTGTAGTGTTCCGTTATGTTCGACTAATCAACAAATACAACCACACCTCAGTTTTCATCATTTCCCCACTGATACACAACTCCAAGTGCACTGGGTACATGTGATTAAAAGAGACGAGGCGCCAAATTCCAGATGATTCCAAACAGCACATACGTCTGCAGTCTTCACTTTACTTGTGGGTTTGATCACAGTCGGTCGGCGAGCTCAGTGTCGGGAACTACACCGGGAGTTGTCATCGCATGTTTCCAAACGTCTTCCTGGTTTGTGGCGTAACATGAATTGAGCCTGTGATTTTGTCTTTCGTATTTCCGCTTAAATCTACCACAAATATTGCACGCTCCCAATATTTAAAAAAATGTTTATGTCATCTGGGTGCTACATGACGCAGTGTCTTACTCAAAACTAGCTCCACCTGCAACATTTGTTAAAATTAATCTTTGTTTATATTGTGCTTTTTGCAGAGAATGGAGGGAGTTTGGCCAGTGAGTTTCTGTCTGGAGGGATGTGTCCTGGTGGCGGGGAGGGGAACTGTAGCAGTGGAGCAGTGCAAGAAACAGGAGGTAAAAAAAAAAACATAAATAGTAAAATGTAAAAGAAAATTCAGATTTGCAAAATGACATTGTTAAAAGTTCTGTTGTGTTGTGGAATGTCTATGAGTTATTGGCAAAGTTTTGGTCGGGTGTGGTAACCTCTGGATCAACTGCCTTAGGTTTGATTACATAATGAAAAAAAGAACAGTTATATAAGTTCTAATACTTCTACGCCTCTACAACTTGCACCATTTGCATTTGTTTAATTCCAAGTTGCAGCAATGAAAAGATAGTTTACCAATTCAAATTATAATATATTCAGTTATAATGATGTTTGGGTAATTATTTTATTTTGAAGCGTCAATCTAGGCCTGGACATGTTTAAAACCAGGTCTAAAACCAGTCTAAATCAGAACTTGACTACACCAGAACCAGAACAAACCAGGTCTAAACCAAATCTAAAAAGGGACTAACCCAGACTAACTAAACTGGGTCACAAGACGGACTTCAGTATTTCAAAATCCTGGCTCTTTATTTACAGCTTTGAACTCACAGTAATTGAGAATGTGGAAACTTTCTCCTTGTGACTTTTCGGTGTTTTGTGGTTAACTTTTAACCTCTCGTAACATGGAAATTCTGGTTAAAATAAGTACAAATTCAATAAAAGGGGTACAGTGTAACTTGTGGTGTAGAGGAGGTGCTTTTGCTTTTGCTTTACCTTGAATGTTCCTGAGTATGGTATTCATTGGCAAATTACAGCTGTTTTTATTGTTTCAGAAATATACACTATACATACTGTAGCTGGGACGCCTCTGCACAGATCTGACCTGTTATTCGTCCTGGTAGTGCCACCTGCTTTTCTCCATAGAGACAGATACTGTATTGATTACTGTATGATTTTGTATCATGTGATTAACATTAACGCCGTTTATAATCACCTACAGAACAGAAACCAGAGACTACAGCACATGAACCAGGACTAAACCAGGTCTAAACCAGGACTAAACCAGGACTCAACCAGGACTCAACCAGGTCTAAACAAGGACTAAACCAGGACTCAACCAGGACTCAACCAGGTCTAAACAAGGACTAAACCAGGACTCAACCAGGACTCAACCAGGACTAAACCAGAACTAAACCAGGACTAAACCAGGACTAAACCAGGATTAAACCAGGACTGAACCAGGACTCAACCAGAACTAAACCAGAACTGAACAAGGACTAAACCAGGACTAAACCAGAACTGAACCAGGACTAAACCAGGTCTAAACCAGGACTCAACCAGAACTGAACCAGGACTAAACCAGGACTAATCTTGGACCCAAGCCCGTGGAACAGGATGTCCGCAAAGCGTGATCGGGCGACGGATCCGCTTATGCCCGTGGGGCGTGCAGCTCTGAGCTGGTCTGCGTAGACCGTTGGGTGACTGCGGGCGCACCTCCGGGCCCCTCCCGACACTCAGTCCTGGTTCAGTTCTGGTTTAATCCTGGTTTAATCCTGGTTTAGACCTAGTTTAATCCTGTTTTAGTCCTGGTTTAGTCCTGCTTCAGTTCTGGTTTAGTCCTGGTTTATTCCTGGTTTAGTATGTTTTAGACTTGGTTCAGTCCTGGTTTAGTCCTGGTTCAGGTCTCTATAGGACAGTAGTGCAGATTTCATGAGTCTATGCAGTTTGTTTTCACCGTTGCCATTTGCTCCAGTTTGACATTTAAGTGGTAGCTATTTTATATTTGTCATTTTTTATATCTCATGTCAGGAGAAGTGGGTGGACGGTGTACCCAAGTGTACCACGCCCACTGCACCCCTGTGTTTAATGCCATTTGGTAGAACATTCCAGGCAAATCTATAACATCTCCACAGAGACAAGCATGTGGCACACCCCCATACAAGAACATTTGCACAGTCCTTTAAGGAAATGTGACTATTTTAATAACAAATGCCATCCATCCATCATTTTCTTCCTCTTTATTCAGGGAGGGAGGCCCAGATTTCCCTTTCACGCTTCCTCCAGCTCTTCCAGGGGGATCCCAAGGTGTTCCCAGGCCAGCCGAGACCCACAACAAATAACAAATCTTTTCATTTACTTACCTTTAAAACACCATCTATAGCTGTCACCATTTGTGTTGTGGGAACTGTGTCAAAACCCTATACAAAGAAGCCGAAGAAGAAATGGAGCTCAGTTTCTCCTCTAAACCCCAAAGCCCTCAGGATTATTTGACCAACAATAAGTGCAGTTTCCAGAGTGCGTGTGACACATTTCTCTGTATCTTTTGACTGTCTCTTCTGTGTTCTATCACGTTACATTGACCTAAAAAACATATCGAGCTGGATAAAGACTTTGTGAATATAAGTAGATGTTGTCCTTGGTGGCGCAGACTACAAGCCCAAACAAAGTGATAGTTTAGAGAACTTGGAAATGTACTGATGACACCAAATTATGACTAATTTTTGAATGAATGTCTTTTCTAGTAACTTTTGCCCAACTTGTCTATTTCGGTTCCTTTTTTCTTTAAACTTCTGTCATACTGAATCTTGTAAGGTGTTTTTGTTTGATACTTTTAAAGTATGTAACTTTTCTGGTGGAGTTTGCTATGTGTTTGTCCCCATCAGTAAGACATCGGCTCACCGGGGATGTCTTGTGCACCTTTAAAGGGACATTTTGAAATTTTTGACATAGGGCTTAATTTCCTAGTGAGCCAGAGTGTTGGAGACATGTGGAGACACTTTTTGAAATATTCCATCCAGTCCTTGTATTTGCAGAGGTCGCTGGTGCTAGGCTAGTGCATGTCAGTGGCCATAGTTAGCCTGCCACTAAAAACTTACCCACTCCACACAACACCTGAAACAAATCTATTATTACCAGACCATGTGAATGTCTGTGTTGATAGAATAACTGTAGAAATAAAACCAGCCTTTCATTTAAAGGATTTATGTCTGAGCTGCAGCTGTGAGTTGTACGTCCTGATAGAAAGCTCGGCAGCGGCGGACTGATATATGAGAAAATAGTCCTTCAACATGTGACGATTCATGCGATGCAAGGTTAGTTTTATTTCAAACATTATTCTATGGACACAGACATTCACATGGACAGTCTGGTGTAATAATAGATTTGTTTCGGGTGTTTTGTGGAGTGGGTAAGACTGTTTTTAGTGGCAGGAGAACTGTGACTATTTACATGCACTAGTCTAGCACCAGTGACCTCTGCAAATACAAGGACTGGATGGAATATTTCAAAAAGTGTCTCCACACGTCTCCAACACTCTGGCTCACTAGGAAATGAAACCCTATGTCCAAAATTCCGAACTGTTCCTTTAAAGTACCCATATTACGCTGTTTTCTGATCCACGTTCTAATGTCGTTTCCTCATCACAAACAGACCTGGAGTTCTGTTTTGTTTAATTCACACATGTTTAACTCACAAACAAACCTGCAATTAGGCTGAGTTCTTCTCCCAAACAGAAAACACTTTAGGCCACCTTATGATGTCATGATGATGACATGTAATACAGGAAGTGCCCCACTGTTTTTAAACTCCATTTAAATTTACTTCGAATTATTTGGATCATATCAGCCCTGCAGTTTCCAGTTTCTTCTGAACTTCAAGTAAAAGGAGCTGTTCACTTGAGAACTACCACTTCATGACATCACAAGGTGGAATAGGTTATTTTGAGCTTTGGGGATGTAGACAGACTAATATCCCAGGTTTACTCAAACATGTTGTGAATGAAACAAAACACAACTCTTTTTGATGAAGGAACAACATGGAAACACTCAGGAATCCATTTTGTGTCATCTAAGATCTTTAAAACTGAGACTAAAATTCATTTTAAACTAGGGGTAAGGCAGTAAGCTTGGCCGCTAACATTGCTGTGTGTGTGTGTGTGTGTGTGTGTGTGTGCGCGCGTGTGTGTGTGTGTGTGTGTGTGTCAGTGTCAGAGCTGGAGGAAGGGGAGGACAGTGATGTGGAGCGGACCTGTGACTCTCTGCTCATGTGTATTGTGACTGTCCTGAGTCACGGCCTGCGCAGTGGAGGAGGAGTGGGAGACGTGCTCCGGAAACCGTCCAAAGAGGTAATAACAACAACAAAAAAATCCCACCCCCAAACTGTTCCTGAATGTGTCACGAGCCCGGATCATCCTCCCAGCTGCTGATAAGCGTCTGCACTGCTCATGTGAGCTGGAGGCCAGCCAAAAGTGTCTTAAAGTTTCACAATGTTTTTAACAGCTCCTCCCTTTTGCAGAATATAAACTCAGAATATGTTTCCACTGAACTGGTGTCGTCAGATGGGGATGTGAGTCAAAGTGTGGTTTCTGAGAGAGTTCTTTTCTAAAGAAAGTTATAAAAATGGTTATTGGCAGTTTGCTGACCAGAGCTGCTGGGTATTTCCCTTTTGAGTTTGTGTTTCTGTGGGAAAGAAACGGCAGGTTTTTAAAGACGTGCTTATGTTGCTGGTGCAATAGAGAGAAAAAAGTGAATTCAGACTCTAGATTACAATAAAATTTAGTAATAGGAGGATCAATAGGCTGCAAACTAAAAATGTAATGTCCTCATTTCAGATAGAAGCAGGTGTTTTTTATACAGTGTTGGTAAGAATACTTTGTAAAATCTGATTACTGACTACTGGTTACTCTTTCTAAAAGTAAACTAATTACTACTCTGATGATTTCATTTGAGTACAATTTGAGTTCTAATTATGACAAACTACTTTGAAAAACATACAGCCCAGGAACCATGTTCTAAAAAGTCTTTATTGTTGACAGTGATGGCACTGGGCCATGTTTGTTTGGTCCACATGTTTGTTTGGTCCACACTGATTTGCGCCTGACACCACACCGGGACACGCACTTCCTGTTTATCTTTGATTCTGTATTGATACAGCGAAAAAGTAATTAAAGGTTACCAGGGCAAGTAACTGTAATCTAAATACTTATAAAAACATAAAATAAATAAATAATCCTTCACTTTGTAAGCAGTTACTGCCCAAAGCTGTTCTGATATAATAAAAGTCTTATAATAATAGTAAAATACATCATATATAGACCTTTTAACGCTTCAGTGAAAAACACTTACAGTAACAGTCCCACCCACTGTGAAATCCAAGTCAAATTACTCATTCATTTTCCCATTCACTTAAAATTCTAGGTCTTGTGGTCATTAGTTACCTCTGTGCTCATTCGCCCGCACCGGTCTTTCAAATCTTTTAATACGATCTATTTTCAGAAAGTCTGTGGAAATAAATGCGAATTAAATGTTTTATCAGAAAAGACAAATTAGATTTTTCTGTAATAGTTCGGCCTTTGCACAAATATAATGATAACGAACAGTGTATATAATAATGCTATGTCCCCTCCCCTCCTGAGACTCCTACTTCTACATTGTCTGTAAATAAGCGTGGTCTTTGTCTGGGGCACATGACACTCAGCGATCTCCTCAGTCTGTGTTTGTGTAGCAGCTGGCAGGTCACGGCGTGGTCTTAAATTTCCATTAATATCCATGAGGAGGGTTAACCTGGTTTTACATTCATAACATTGACTCCAAACACACTTACATAAATGGCCTCTGTCCTGTGGGTCACTCATTTGGGGCACGAGTAAAACATCTCATCTCGCTTACTCTCAAATGACCACTCGTGAACGATATAGAGGATTCGACCATAATAACACACGGTTTTATACTAACACTTTATAAAAACAACACATTTATTAGCTAGAATAAAGAAATACATTCATAAAGTATAGTGAGAATGATTCATCCTTAGTAACTCCTGCTATATGTCATCTCATGTTTGAGAAAGCTTCACAAGAGCAGTTTCATGAGGTGGGTGCTCGCTGATTGTGTTGCGATAGTGCTCTGAAGGGGGAGTGACTAAGTGCAGGGAGCAAAGGGTGAGGGAAGAGCGTCATTTTTTTTAAACATATTGCTTTCGGGTGAATAGAGCGTTTTCAAAACACTAAAAGGAAACATGGTGATCTAAATGTGTGATGTGTTAGAAATGAAGAGCACATTAGTTAAGATCTTAGTTATAGTCAAACATAAAGAGCTGTGTGATTATTGATTTTAGATTTGTTTGACTGCAGGTTCTATTTACATTTAGACATACAGAGACACAGGAGATAGATGGATGAATAGATATATTATAGACAGTGTTGGAAAGGTTACTTTTATTTTTTACTTTATGTAATCTGAATACTTTGGATTACTTGATTTGCTGTAGAGCAGCAAAGACTCGGACATCTTCACATAAGATGTTTTGTTTGCTAAAAGACAATAAAAAGCCCAAACTTTACTTAACCAAATTAAAAATATTATTGATAGAAGAGAAGGAGACACGGTCCGCACAGCATGGTTTAGTCCTGTTAAATTCTGTTTTAGTCATGGTTTAGTCCTGGTTTAGACCTGGTTTAGTCTTGATTTAGTCCTGGTTTTAATCCTGATTTAGTCCTGGTTTAGATCTAGTTTAGACCTGGTTTTGGTCCTGGTTTTAGTCCTGGTTTAGATCTGGTTTTAGTCCTGGTTTAAGCCTGGTTTAGTTCTGGTTTAGATCTAGTTTAGACCTGGATTTAGATGTGGTTTAGACCTGATTTGGACCTGGTTTAGACCTGATTTGGACCTGGTTTAGTGTCCGGCAATAAGTGGAATTATTGAAAAAAAAAAAAAAAAAAAGGGATATAGCCCAAAATGTAAAAACAGGAAAATCCCACTGTGTAATCCATTTTTTTCAACAAAGTAACTGTAATCCAATTACCACTCACTGAAACAGTAACTGTAACCGAATACAGTTAATAATTTGTACTCTGATTATGTAACTCCGGTACATGTAATCTGTTACTCCCCAACATTGATTATAGATAGATACAGTAGATAGAAGTTGAATTTTGTAGGGGTTATTTTAAATTTTTACAATGTGAACTTTAAAAAATGTTTAAATTGTCAATGCGCCTAAAAATTTGCTTTGTAAGTAAGCCCAGTATTCAGGAAGTAATGCGGAAGTTAAAAAAACATTTTGGCACGAACACAGGCCATTGAAAACAATACGGCGCCATCTTGGATTCATCTTCCAGATCTTATCACACTTCCATGACTGATACCTGCTCAAAGGAGTATTTCATTTCAGTACTAGTTTAGTAACAATCAGCGTCTGATTTAAACACTTTTGATGATGATGAATACTAAAAGCAACTTCTGAGGTTAAAATGAGTGAGCTGTGTACTATTCTAAAAGATGATATTGTCAAACTATCAGAAAGGAAGTGTACGTTAGCGTTACCATGACAGCAAAACTCTGCAAAAGAAAGTTATGAAAAGTGCTTATAAAGTCATCATGGTAAATAATGAGGATGCTCTGAATGAATATGGTGAGAGAGGAAGAACATTACATAGATGGATAAATAGATAGGCCCGGGGACCAAATTTGGCCCGTGATATAATTATATTTGGCCTGTGAGATCATATCAAGTCTGTATTCGAGCAGCACACACAGATAGACTATAGAGACATGATTTATTTAAAATGTTGTTATTATTTTATATTCTGCTTGTTCTGGATTCAGTGTTTAAGCAAAACTATTATTAAACATTTATTTTAATAAGAAAAGGTTTAACATTACATATCTCAAAAGAAGAGAAAACATGCAGATGTAATTTTTCAATAAATATTTAGTTTGGCCCATGACTAAGGCTGCGTTCAGACTGCAGCCTGAAGTGACCCAAATCCGATTTTTTGGCCCCTATGTGACTTATATCTGTTCTTTTAATGACAGTCTGAATGACACAGATCCGATTTTTTCAAATGTGACCCAGACCACTTGGATATGTGGTCCTAAAACCGATACATATCTGATCTTTTGACATGCGACTTCAATCTGAACGGCCAAAGCGCATTCATCCACCTACACATTATCAACAAGCCACAAATGTCACTATTTTGCGCTGAAGTAGGCGAAAATTGTTAATGAACTCCGTGTCACTGAAGCGAAGCACATCACCACTCATCACTCTTGGCTACGTCTCCACATCCACACGTTCCTTTCAATGAACGTTGCTGCCGCTGCCCCACAAAACACCACGGCCAAAAAACCTCATCCTTCTCAATCTCCTTCTTAAAACAAGTAAGTTGTTCATGTTCTGGCTCCGGTACAAGAGGAACTTTAAAATCTCCAGGTTCTCAATGCTCGCGTCCATGTTTGGACAACTTCCGTAAACACAGAACACGCTCGCTGCGAATGACGTCGTCGTGTCCTCCAGTGCGGGACATTTTCGGGCCGTTTACTGTTCAAACTGGAGTCACATACAAGTCACATTTAATTGGAAATGTGAATGACCTCGCAAAAACATCGGATTTCACAAAAAAATCGGAATTGAGCTTTAAGCCCTGCATTCTGAACGTAGTCTAAGTCCCAGTTTTTAATTTTGGCCTCAGTGAATTTGAGTTGGATAGATAGATAGATACAGTAGATAGATAGATAGATAGATAGATAGATAGATAGATAGGTCTGATGTTTGTCTCTTTCTTTCTCTAAACACAACATGAAGTCAGAAAGACCAAAGACAGTTAAAGCAGTGTGATGTCATTGTTCAGCTCCAGTCAAATGAAGCTCATGAGGCCGGCGGTTACAGGACCAGAGGACAATATTACAAACAAGAATTCATTTAAGTACAAAATAACCAAATGAAAACACCAGGATCACATAGAGCAGGTTAATACGAACGTTTAAGACCAACATGACAAGGCTCACAGCAGCAGTTACATGTCCATTTATATATACACTCTATAGATTGAATGCAGATGAATAGATAGAGCTGAGTACTTGTAGATTTGATAACTGTCTGAATCCATATTGACTCCATGTTGTATTTCCCACTGTCAGGAGCCTCTGTTCGCGGCGCGTGTGGTGTACGACCTGCTCTTCTTCTTCATGGTCATCATCATCGTCCTGAACCTGATTTTTGGAGTCATCATCGACACGTTCGCCGACTTGAGAAGCGAGAAGCAGAAGAAGGAGGAGGTGCTCAAGACTACCTGCTTCATCTGCGGTCAGTGCTCTACATGATTTTCCCTCATGTATCTGAGCGGATGTGTCTTGCCCCAGTACAGATATATTATATAAACATCTCTTGAGGTTAAAATTAATCTGCTGTGTACTGTTGACGTCTGCTGTGACTGTACCGAATTGCGGTTTACATGGAAAACTCGTTAAATCAACCTTATTTAATTCTGCTCAGCGTCTGGGGGTGGGGAAGGTTCTGACTGGACAGAGACACAAATGTATTTACGTCTTTGCGAAGAAAACACACACTTCAGCTACCACCGGCTTTTTTGTCATCTCTGTTTGTCATTACCCCACGGGCACACACATGATCCAAAATTTTTTCATAGTCGTTCCAATAATAATTAAGTAGCAGCTGGAGAATTGTCTCATCACACTTTACATCTGTCAGCTGAGGAGGAGAAGGGAAGAGTGTCGGAAAAGGGAGGAAGAAGACAAACTGAGTGTGAGGCTGTTCTACCTCAGCCCACTTACACATCCCGCTCACAAATCCAAAGAGACGTGGATGAAAGTCCCAAGCCAGGACGGGTGGAGCTGGATCATTTGGATTGCGTCAGAATGACCCAACAAACTGAACCTCTGACATTATTTTTAAAAAGAATAAACATTTAGATGATCAAGGAATAAATTAATTTGGCTTTAAAATCTGAATAAATCACCCACTTACTTTGGAATTAAGTTTAATTCCAAACAATCATTTTTATTTACATGAAAAGTGTTTACATGGTCTTTTTTAAATGGAATAAGTGAATTAATTTGATTTTGATAAGGAATAGACTTGATACTTAATTTTGTTTAGACATTAGAATGCTATTTTCAACATTAAATCATCGTTATTTATTTCTCTTCTATTCCCATGTGTCCTTATATCTATGGAATCCCTCGGGTCAAGGTAGCGTGGTCCATGGTACTGCTCCAGGAGCTTCGGCCCAGAAATAATTCTCCCATAGAGCGCATTTTTTGTGAAATCAAACTGGCCGTGTTCGGCTGACAGGCCGTCCACAACTTTCACAAAAGTCGAATTTTGTAGAGGTTCTTTTGTATGTTTACAATATGAACTTTGAAATGTTTAAATTGGCAGTGCACCTAAAAATTTGCTTTGTAAGGCCATTATTCAGGAAGTAATGTGGAAGTTAAAATCTTTTTTTGGTGCGAGCACAGGCCATTGAAAACAATTTGGCGCCTGGATGAACCTTCCAGATCTTATCGTACTTTCATGACCGATACCTGCTCAAACAAGTATTTTGTTTCAATACTAGTTTAGTAACAATTAGCGTCTGATTTTCAATACTTCTGACAACCCTATAAGCAGCTTCTGAGATTAAAATAAGTGAGCTGTGTGCTTTTCTAAAAGATGATATTGTCTCACTATCAGAGAGGAAGTGTACATTAGCTTTACCATGACAGCGAAACTCTGTAATGGTCTCTGAAATTTATGAAAAGCTTATAAACTCATCGTGGTGAATAATGAGGTTGCTCTGAATGCATAAGGTCAATGAGGAAAAAGTTTGGACCACTAGAAACTGTTTCAAAGGAATCAGTTCTGTTTTTCACATTTTCAAGAATGTAAAAATCTGCTACAGCCCCTTTAAATTCATTCAATGCTGATATTAAAGAAAACCTATTACACTTTTGTCTGTTATATAATCTATCACTCATGGTCAGATCTGTGGAGAGGTGACCCCACTCACAGTAAGAATGCAGATTTTGCGATAAAAACACCTGTAATTAAATCCAAATGCAATTGTTTAATGCTATACCGTGGAACATTCCAAGTTAAACTATAACGTGTGACGATTATGTGATTTTCCAGTAAACATATGGTGTGTAGGGGCCGTCTCTTCCTTCCTCACATTATATACTCCTGGAGTTGTTTCTGCAGAATCCTGAGTCAGAGGAGCTTCCTGCGTCTGCCTGTCGCTCACACACACAGATGCCTGACTCTCACCTCCTCTGACTTCTCCTCTGCAACATTACAAACACAAAGCACCAGGACGTGAGAAAACAAACGTTCACTTTTTGTGCTTTGCTTTACGTCTGCTTCTAAGTCATCGTACATGATCCTACCTGGACCACAGACAGATCACACAGACACTAGGTAAAGGTGCACTGCGCAGCTTTTCTGGTTTCCATGGTGATGTTATTGCATCCTTGGACTCGGTTTTGTCTCGGACTCGAGGTCTGACACTTGTCGATTGTAATCATATTTCATTATGAAGCCGCTGCTGTCGGTTATAAACTTGTACTGGTGTGTGGTACATCTGTGTTTGCCACGATGTGTGTTTGGTTTGGTAAATGTGCAAAGGATAAACACCACTGTAAAAACAGTAAGGGAATGTAACTCCAGTTAGGAATTTGAAAAAAAAGTTATTTAAATATCCTACCCACTTTCTTCACTTTCTTCACAGTTTTCTGCAAAGTGCCAGTGGAAGTGGGATTAAAGAAGGGTTCTCCAACTGTGGGTGAGGGTCCAAAAAAGAGGCACAATGTGTTTCAGTGCAGTACAGTTTCCTTCTCTTTTTTTAAGCTTAAATGAACATTTATCAGATCACATAGAGATAGATTTATAAAAAACATTTATATAAATGTGCCAAAGTAACTGTAATATACAAATAAATGTAGAAAATGACAAAGATGGTCTTGATTTGTCTTGATGGGCCATGGTCTTGGTCTTGTCTTGCTCTAGTCCACAGGTGTCAAACATAAGACCCGGGGGCCAGATCCGGCCCTCCAAGACCTTTAATGTGGCCCTCGGCTGATTTTCTACTTAAATATTTGAATTATATTTTCTATTAAAATATTGGTAATTTTCTGCATCACTTATCATAGCAGCATCTCCAGCGCCTCTGTGCGTGGCCCCTCCCACCAGAGCAGCACAAAAGAACACTTGGCTCTTTCCAAACAATCCTTTTTGACTATTGACCGTGACACCCTCATCAGCAAAATGTCAAAAATAAGAAAAGTGGACGGTGAGTGCAGGATTTTCCAAGAAAAATTGACTTATTCCTATTTGCATACAAGTTAATGTTAAAACATTGTGTTGAAATAGAATTTTTCTTGAAGTTTCAGGTTGTTCATAATATTATAATATTTTGTAAAAGAAAGAGTTCATCAATTAAAAAAGATTTCTGTAATAGATTTGTGTTTCTCTGCACAAATATTTGAACTTATTGTTATTTTTGGGGTTTATATGCCATGAGTTTTCGATCCGGCCCCTTTGGGATCAAAGTAGGTTGGATACGGCCCCCGGACCAAAATGAGTTTGACACCCCTGCTCTAGACCTTTAAAAGTCTTGGTCTGGTCTCGGTTTCAGGACTCTGTGGTCTCAGTCTCGATTAGAGCCTTGAGAGTCTTGACTACAACACTCCCTACTCATCTAGAACATTGGTACAAATCAGTCAAATTTTTCCTGATTTCTTGACCGATGTAATGGACAAACCTGTTGTGTTATTCTTAAATAGCTCTCCCTGCCTAGTATAACAGGTGTGTGTGTGTGTGTGTGCGTGTGTGTGTGTGTGTGTATGTATGTTAGTTGGAGGGCAGATTGGCAGCCTGGCTTTTGTCAGGTCAACTGTGTTTACGGTAGATTAGCACTAGCGGATGTAGAGTGAATGAAGAATGCCCTGTAAGCAGCTTTGGGCGTCTTGAAAGGTGCTAAAGAAATACATTATTATTTTTATTTTACATTTAAAGACATTTCTGATGGATAAACAAAAGAACTTCAGATCATCATTATCAGGACACTACCAGTAATACACAGATATTCATTTTTGTCACTATACTCCATCCCTCTCCCATCCAGCCCTCTCCCCTCCACACCTCCGTCCCTGTCCCCTCTATCCCTCCATCCCTCCGTCCTTCTCCCTCCTCGCACATGTTCTATGGGGGTCATGCTCCTCTCCTCTCGGGGCGGTAAACACTGTTATGTCACAGCTCTCTGACTCACGCCGTGAACAGGGCCTAGCCACAGGTGGAGCGGCCGTCGCCATGGTTACCGCGGCAACAGGACACGCACGGATTAACCACGCCGACCTCCACCGGCTTAAGTGGCCCTCCATCGCCTCCTGGGTCCCTGTGCCTCTGTCTCCTCTGAAAAATCACACAAAAGACACTCATGATTATCGGCCAGAAAGAGAACACTATGGTGATTTATTTGGGTTTATCTTTTCGAGTGATTATTCTGATGTCTGGCAGAATATTTCATCAAAATAATCGATTTTAGGGATTGTCAAAAATATCGAAAATTAGATTAATAATAAAAAACTAGGATCGAAACTAGATACTCATTTGAGCAGGTGTCGATACTAGGGATGGGCATTCGATTAAATGTTCTTAATCGGGAGAATTAACGATCGATTATAGATTAATCATTAATGTTTTTATATTAAAATGATCATCATTATTATTACTATCTGCACTACTAATCTGCATAAATAAATTCAACTTTACAAAATATAAACAGTAACGACTCTAGAGCCACATCAATGTGTTGTCATGTTTAATGCAGCTTTGCACAACTCTCACAGAAACAAAACTTAAAACCTCATGGCTAATTTGCATAAACTAAGGGAAGAAAAAAAACAGCTCTTGTGCACTGATGCAGTTCAACTTCTGTCAGATTAAAGGACTCGACTCAGTGGAATACAGGTTAGTGTGACCATATTTGCGTTTGTCAAAACCAGGACACTGTACAGGGGGTGGGAGGTGGGGCCTCGTCATCCACATTGCGCAACTCTCACCTGGCAAAGATTTTTCATGTTTTCTGTGTCCTGGTGAACTTTTTCCCACTGGACACTGAAACATATGTGCTGTTTTGTACACTGTGCACATGGACTCACACTTGTCCCGACCGGAACGAAAAGCGTGGAATTTCTTGTACAAGTCATCGTTAAATACACATTTGTGCTTCGGCACGCTGCAGACTGACTGTTTGTGTCTCCCTCCTTCTGAGTGCAGAGAGACCCCAAACGGGGGTCTGGACGCACAGCAACCTTCATTTGGTTTGTCGATTAAAATGAACGTAATCGATGAAATTCTTAATGATCAATTATCGATTAATCGACTAATCATGCCCATCCCTAGTCAATACTAAAAATGTCCCATTGACAAGACAGAAATGTACCTTTCCTTACAATGTGGCAAATAAAGCGTGAGAAAAAAGTAGTGGCTTATAGTCCAGAATTTACGGTACTAGTCTATGTGCTTCATATATACGGTCTATGGTTTGGCAACACCAGTGGATACACGCAGCCTGAGTGCAGAAAACTCTGCTGTCTGTGCAGTGACACATGGATCTAGGGTTAGATGTTATTGCTTTGCCTGAAATGTTTCACAGTATGGCATTAAATTTGTCTATTTTGGATTTATTTAATTACAGAAAAATACATACACAATAAAAACGTGCATTCTTATCTTGAGCAAGCTCGCCTCTCCACAGATCTAACCTATATAACTCGGTCTGGAGGTATCAGTTACTTGTCTCTATGGAGATTAATGATACTGTGGGACATTCTAGGCAACACTCCTACACCTGAAAAGTTACATAGTGCACCTTTAATTTTATACATACTTACTTATATTTTTGCTTTCTTCTTCTTCTTCTTCTTCTTCCAGGTTTGGAGCGAGACAAGTTTGACAATAAAACGGTGACCTTTGAGGAGCACATTAAAGAGGAGCACAACATGTGGCATTATCTGTTCTTCATCGTTCTGGTCAAAGTGAAAGATTCCACGGAATACACCGGACCTGAGAGCTACGTGGCCGAGATGATCAAGGTAAGAATACACAGGAAAAAAAACACACAAGAAATTAGAACTGTAGTCCACTCTTAGACCTGGTTTAGAGCTGGTTTAGACCTGGTTTAGTCCTGGTATAGACCTGGTATTGAGCTGGTTTAGAGCTGGTTTAGACATGGTTTAGACATGGTTTACTGGTTTAGACCTGGTTTAGTCCTGGTTTAGACCTGGTTTAGACCTGGTTTAGTCCTGGTTTAGACCTGGTTTAGACCTGGTTTAGACCTAGTTTAGACCTGGTATAGTCCTGGTTTAGACTTGGTTTAGACCTGGTTTAATCCTGGTTTAGTCCTGGTTTAGACCTGGTTTAGACCTGGTTTAGTCCTGGTGTTAGTCCTGGTTTAGACCTGGTTTAGACCTGGTTTAGTCCTGGTTTAGACCTGGTTTAGTCCTGGTTTAGTCCTGGTTTAGACCTGGTTTAGACCTGGTTTAGTCCTGGTTTAGACCTGGTTTAGTCCTGGTTTAGACCTGGTTTAGACCTGGTTTAGACCTGGTTTAGACCTGGTTTAGAGCCTGGTTTAGACCTGGTTTAGACCTGGTTTAGACCTGGTTTAGTCCTGGTTTAGACCTGGTTTAGAGCTGGTTTAGACCTGGTTTAGACCTGGTTTAGTCCTGGTTTAGACTGGTTTAGTCCTGGTTTTAGACCTGGTTTAGACCTGGTTTAGTCCTGGTTTAGACCTGGTTTAGACCTGGTTTAGTTTAGTCCTGGTTTAGACCTGGTTTAGACCTGGTTTAGTCCTGGTTTAGACCTGGTTTAGACCTGGTTTAGACCTGGTTTAGACCTGGTTTAGACCTGGTTAGACCTGGTTTAGACCTGGTTTAGACCTGGTTTAGTCCTGGTTTAGACCTGGTTTAGACCTGGTTTAGACCTGGTATAGACCTGGTATAGTCCTGGTTTAGACCTGGTTTAGACCTGGTTTAGACCTGGTTTAGACCTGGTTTAGACCTGGTTTAGACCTGGTAGTACTCAGAAAGTCAAATGTTTCTTTGGTGGTTCTTGGTTTGATTACCTTTTCATTCAGACTGGTTGAGAGTTGAAGGTGAATCAGTATCAGTGACGCCAAAACTGAATCAAACTGGTCAAAATGTCACAACACTGGAACAAAACAGGCAATTTCCGTACTGTGGTTTTGGTGAGTTAAAAGTGAACAACACCTTTCTGAATGAGTGCATCACTGGTTATGTTTAGATCTGGACTTATCACATTATTAAAATGTCATGTTTTGAAACTATTACATCACATGAAAATAATGTCATTTCTCTGTGAGCGTTCACACCTGTGCAGTTTGGACGAGGAAAGTTATGTAAAAAGGGGCAAACTAAAGCAGTAAAGACAGAACCGAAAGAAAAGAATGTAATTATTATTAGGTTATCTGATTATTATTATTATTAGCCTTGCATATGTGGCCAGTTTCATAGTCTTTATTTGCACATCCTACAAGTGGAATGAATGAATCAGTTTGTTTGAGAAGTCACGTGACTTTCCATTGTTCAGACTAAACAGCATCATGAGCTCATTATTTATATAATGAGTAAGACTTGTAAACATGCACCAACACAGCACGCCATTCACCATTTACTCTTTCAAACAAGAGAAAGCGAAACAAATGAAACTGGACTTTTGTTCTTAGATTCTCAAAGCTGGAGACATGTTGGTGCATGTGAGAGGTCAGACTCTCGTTTCACTCCAACACAGTTAACGTCATTACATTTAAGACTTTATGAACAATCTTTTTTCGTTAATTGTACTTCCTGGTCGGACAGGAGCAGCAGATATGACATAAGCATATTTAATTACATGCGTTACCAAGCAACCATCATGTTAACAAAAGGCCAAAACATGTCCAAATGCCACACTCATTCTCATCAGACTGATTCAAAGGAAATAACAACATGATTCTCTTATTCAGTCATTATTGGGGCTGTCACAAAAAAGTCCTTCCTCGTGCATGAAGTGTCCCTGGTTTTTGGATGGAGTTTTCCATGTTGACATAAGCATATGGATTCTATTTTACAATTCACTGCTACTTCCTGTATTTTTGTACTTTTCTTTTCAACTTTTTTCCACAAAGGAGATGGAGAGGCTGAGGGGCTCATGGTTCTGCTGCTGAGGTGGAGAGCAGCTGTAGCAGGTTGATGAGGGTACAGAGACAGTACAGTGTTTTACCATGACTTTCAGAGGCCAGAGTTTTGCCTTCACAGCTACACTAAAGAAGACTAGCATGCCAACAGCGCACTTCCTTGTCCACGGAAGAAAAAAAACAAACAAATGCTTTGATGAGATGCAGAAAGAACATTGCAGACTCATACTGACCACAGCATCCTGTTCGACTGTCAGACAAATGTCACAACTTTACATGAAAAAAACAAAACAATTCAGACCATTTGAAGGTTCACTGTGGAAGTTTTAAGTCGAGTGTTCAAAACCGTTCATTCTCCATTCTCCAAAATTACTTTCAACTTAAAGCAGACCTATTATGCAAAAACTTTTCAGAGCTTTTAATCATGTTATATTTGTTTCCTTTTCTCATTGAGCCTCTCGATGTTGTACATGGACTGAGTCATGTGTGTTTGACGAATCTTTAATAGTTTATTTTCAAGATGCCATTTTCACTCTCAGCAGTACACCGGTTTCACTGGTACACATCTTACTCTGTTCTCCAATTGTATTTTCTTAATCAATGAAACCCATACACAGCAAATTCAAGAGTGTCAATCCAGCTCATATTGCTCATTTGAACACGTTTACTGTGTTATATGAAGTCCACACTAGAATTTAAGACTACACTTTCAAATGTAGAAGGTTCAGCACTGGTAAAGTGATGTAACCACACTCCTCAGAGCTGAATTTGATTCTGACTAACATTAGATTTTTTTTACATTAGGGTCTGGTCAAGCAGTAACGGAGGGAAACAGGGGCAGATTTTTTACATTCAAATAGCTCTTATTCAGAAACTAGAGGGACTATTGAAATAAGTAAAGTATCAGAATGTAGGAAAGAGTTAACACTCCAACAGGGTAAAGTTAAACCTGTGATATTCTTTCAGGTTGTTGACAAAAAATTTAAAAACTCATGTCGGTAACGGAGGGAATGAAATATGCAGCACTTTTTGGGCAGTAAATACAAACAGTGATAACTAGTGCGGTTCTCACTTACATATCCTTAACAAACTGGTTTGAATATTTGCTTCATATAGTTTTCTACCATATGGTACAAGATTAGGTTGAAAAACCTCTTACTTTTTGAGTAATGGGATTTTTTATTAAGAAAGGTCATGGTAACGGAGGGAAAAGTAACGGAGGGAAAATTGTACAAGCAAGTAGAAGGTGCATGATTTTACATAATTTGTCAGGTTTTTTCTTCCGAATATTTTAATATTACTTCAAAATGAAAGGAAACTATTTCTATAAAATATGTCAGTCCTTCCAAGCAAATTTTTATCATTTTAAATACATTTAAAAAAAATAAAATAATGTACCTTCATCAACAGTTCAAAGATGGAATAACACAAGATATGATGAAATACATCCATTTATTTACATGATTTGCAGGTCTTTGAAATTTGGGAAATAATTTTTGTTCCATGTTTCATACATGGTCTGTTTAAAACGTATGTAACTTTAGAAACAAAAATGGTACAGAAAAAAGGTAAACAGTTTCATAAACTAGAGTACATATTCTATCTGTTGAATACATTTTTATATCAGATGCATTAACTTGAATTTTTGGCCTTGCTGTTTACTTCTGCTTGACTGGGCCCTTTAGTGTACAGTGAAAAACTAATAAAACTCTACTGAGATGTTTGAACACTTTATGGAGTAGAAACAGTGTGGAGTTTTCTTCATGTTCATTCAATATTCAATAGTAACTCTTTCTTCAGTAAATAGTATTAATGCTGTGGTGAAACTATGTTGAAACATATCTGGGTTTTCTTCACTCTACTCCCCACAACACAACACTGTGAATTTAACACTTTTGAATTTGCTGTGTAAGTTTCTGCAGGCGTCATGCGGTAATTTTGGTACAAAGGAAAAAAAACCTGTTACACACTAGTGTGATTTACAGCTTTCCACTGGAGTTGCCGATTCTTTGTTGTGACAGTGTTTATGTCAACTCCCTTTTGTAAAGTCAGTTTGTTTTATGAGGTATTTTCAAATGAATATTCCGGTTTGAAATGTGCAAAATATGACATAATGATCAGTGGGTGTCGTAGATTATAACAAGAGACCAGGCTCAATACATCACACAAAACTCAAGTGTGAAAGACACGTTTAAACCTCACAGCAGAACATTTCAAGAAAAACAAGGACCTTTTCATGAACTCTCCACTAGAAAAGTTACACCGTGTTCCTTGTCCACTTGTAAGCATGTGTTTTACAGGCTGTTTTTGTTGATATGTTTTGAGATTTACAATGTGATGAGAAACGTGACTCAGTTTATTGCAGCGGTTATGACTCTGCAGCACGAGTGTCCGCTTGCTGAAGGTGAAAAGTCACAGCAGAGATCAGCCCATGTGAAGAAAGAGGAGTTACAAAAGAATAACAACTATTCCAGTTAAACGCTTGTGCAAGAGTTCATCTGTAGCCTCATGCACTGTACTTTTACTCTAATAACTCATCAATAAGAGAAATAACTTGGAAACACAACACGACACACACAACACACAACACAATAGCCCAATAATACAATGTAAAACCATGTTCACAGTACTAGCAACAATGAAATAAGAAGTATTTTTTAAGATGAATTAAAATAAAATAAATATATAAAAAAAAATTTCATGTGTTGTGTGTATGTAAGAAATACAAGAAAATGTGTCAGATATGAGAAAAGTTATATAATGACTAAAATAGATAAATAATAAATAAAGAAATGTTAAAAAAAAAAATCTAATCAAAAATATGGTAAAATACTGACTAAAACAGAGATGTCAAACTTAGCTTCACTGAGGCCAAAATGAATGAAATCGTGGGCCAAACTAAATATTTATTGAAAAATTTCAACAACATCTGCATGTTTTCTCTTTTTTCGAGATATGTAATGTTAAACTTTTCTTATTAAAATAAATGTTTAATAATAGTTTTACTTAAACATTGAATCCAGAACAAACAGAATATAAAATAATAACAACATTTTACATAAATGTCTCTATAGTCTATCTGTAACCAGTGGGCAGCTCTAATACATATTTGATATGATTTTGCGGGCCAAATATAATTATATTGTGGGCCAAATTTGGCCCCCGGGCCTTAGTTTGACATGTCTGGATTAAAAAGTAAAAATTTGATAATTAATTAAAGAAAAACATGTCAAAAATAAAATAAACTAAAACAGCTAAATAATGAAAACAACCTTTGTGAAATATAATGTAACCTGGTGGTGTATGTGTGTGTGTGTGTGTGTGTGTGTGTGTGTGTGTGTGTGTGTGTGTGTGCGTGCGTGCGTGTGTGTGTACAGGAGCATAACCTGGACTGGTTTCCGCGCATGAGGGCCATGTCTCTGGTGAGCAGCGATGCAGAAGGAGAACAGAACGAGATCAGGAGCCTGCAGGAGAAACTCGAGTCCACCATGAGACTCGTGTCCAACCTGTCAGGACAACTGACCGAGCTCAAAGAACAGGTGAGAATTATGCACCTGTCATATACACCTGTCATATACACCTGTCAGGACAACTAACCGAGCTCAAAGAACAGGTGAGAACTATTATACACCTGTCATATACACCTGTCAGGACAACTAACCGAGCTCAAAGAACAGGTGAGAACTATTATACACCTGTCATATCCACCTGGGAAGGATGGAGCGTAAGATTGACAGGTGGATGAGTGCAGCATTTGCAGGTCACTCTATCAGACTGTTATGGTGAAGAAGAAGCTGGTGGGGGCCGGGGGGTACTCTTGCTTTTCTTTACAAACACACAAAATTCACATTAACTAATAAAAACATTGAGTTTTAATAAATTATTTTGTTTGCACACAAAACTGAAGAAAGAACAAAATAAAATGACAACTCAGGGTCTTGAAGCCGGAGCGTCCGCACTAAAGACGAGCGACAGAACGTAGTGAGCTAAACTCCACAGTGTAGGGGAATGCTTGATTGTGGCACTGCCTCACCTGCTTCCATCTCACTGTCTTCCCTCTGCTGTCCACTTGGCTTCAAACGTAGCGGCTGCTATGTCCTGTCTGCTCGCACCTTCAGTCAGACGCTCTTCCCTGTTATGACGTAGGAGGCGACCAAGACAAATGTACGCCTTTCAAACAGAGCATCTAGAAGCCGCCATCAGCAGCAGTCAGTTCTGCTTGCAGTCGTCTCAACCTCTCTACCAACAGTTATTAATGTTTATCAGAAAATAACTACTCAGGATTCTGTTGGAGTGGCATTTTCGGGACATTTAGGGACGTCTTGTCACCCTACCCTCACCTATGATCATGAGCTCTGGGGAATGACCAAAAGGACAAGATGGGTGATCCAAATTAGTTTCCTGCAGAGTGGCTGAGTGCTGCCTTAGAAACAGGGTGAGGAGCTCAATCACATGGGAGGAGCTCGGAGTAGAGCCACTGCTCCTCCACATGGAGAGGAACAGCTGAGGGAAGGTGTGCTCTGAATATCCCCCTGATTTTCCCTGGAGGTGCTCCGGCTCCCCTGGCCTTTGTTCAGACTCACCTGTGCTCTCTGGTCTGATCTTCTGTCAGGACAAAGCTGACGCACTATCAGACAGCAGTAACATAGGCAGCATCTAGTGATGATATGTGCGAATATAACAGCTCCAGGTCAAATGGGACTTCAGTGGCATTTAGACTCCTTATGGCCCACAGTATATGACAGTCCAATCCAATCCACTTTATTTCTGTCGCACATTTCACAAACAGTTTGCAAAGTGCTGCACAAATACATAATAATAACAACAATAATAAAATGATAAAATAAACTACTAAAATAATATACTAGTCTTAAAATAATAAAACCAGTAAAATAAAATAAGAACAAAATCATGAAATAGAAATAAATAAACCAATACGTAAATTAAATCAATAAAACCAATAAAAACACATAAAAATAAATAAAAGACACAGAGGAGCACACAACTCACGAGGTGTTAAAAGCCAGAGAGTAAAAGTGGGTCTTAAGACGAGACTTAAAACACTCCACTGTGAGGGCTGTTGGGACGTGGGGGGGTAGAATGTTCTAGAGTTTAGGGCCGACCACAGAGAAGCTCCTGTCCCCCCTGGTTTTAAGTCTCGTTTTAGACACCAAGAGCTGGAGCTGGCCCTCGGACCTCAGAGAGCGCGGGGGTATCAATTTGGATGAGGTCCGTGACGTACTGTGGGGCCAGTCCATTCAAGGCTTTAAAAACAAACAATAAAATCTTAAAATCAATTCTAAAACTAACAGGAAGCCAGTGCAAAGACGTAAAGATTGGGGTTGTGTGCTCTCTCCTTTTTGTTCCTGTTAAAAGTCGCGCTGCAGAGTTTTGGACAAACTGTAGTCGGTAAAGTGCGTTTTGTGAAATGCCGGAATAAAGTGCATAACAGTTGTCCACGTGTGATGAAATAAAAGCATGCATAACTTGTTCAGAAAGTTTAAAAGATAAAAAAAGTTTAACTTTAGATAAAAGCCACAAATGATAAAAACTTGACTTTAAAACATTATTGATCTCTGTGTCAAATGTCTAAGGTGTGCGCTATGTTTCAGATGACGGAGCAGAGGAAGCAGAAGCAGCGCATTGGCCTCCTGGGTCACCCTCCGCACATGAACCACAACCCCCAGCAGCCGGCTTAGACTCACCTGGACCCTCGGAAGCTGCCGAAACCGAAACTCTCCTCCCGGACTATCGACACAATCGCGCTTCGACAGTTCTTGGACTAGTATTCACACTTTAACGTGCCTCACCTCTCTCCTGTTCACGTCACACACAGCGGATTCTAATTAATATTTATAGATTATTTTTGATGATCCTACTTGTGCACCTGGAGTGGACCAAGTGCCTTAAAATGACTGAGGAAAATGCATTTTACTAATTATGAAAACAAGCCAAAGTTGAACCCGAACAGCTGTCTTCCCTGTGGCCTTTTCTACCTTTTGTGTCTAAACTCAGGTCTATAACACACGATAGAACATTTGTGATTTTCAACTGGTGCAGAGCAAGTACCCAAACACGTCCCAAATACTGTAACTGAGTGGTTAACACACGTAGGTTGTGGGTTAAATTCCTGCGCCAGTGTCTCTGAATGGATCTGTGGTGGAATTTGTTGAGCTGGTTCAAAACTTTGTCATTCCTGAACCTATCCAAAAACGACACAAAGTTCGTCTTCTGTGTTGAATTAACGATAGACCTTTTAGCTTTGTTGAGTTTTGTTGTGTCCTTAGGCAAGACGTTTTAGAAAATGATTTTAGCGAACCTTTCCCACCAGTTGAGAACCATAAATTTCAATATTAAATCTTCTAACTTACAGCAATAGGAAAAATATGCAATAAATTCATCATTCACGAGTATTTAGTTTTATACCTTAAAATAATTACTATTTAATAATTAATAATAACACACATAATTTATTTTTTATTGATTTTACCATCTTTGTGTCCAGATATTTCATGGGTTTTGTTAATGAGTCTGTCCAGTCGGGCTGTACTAATTTTACAGGTGGTTTTGTAACATTTAAAGGGCCGTTTTATGCGATTTTCTGATCTACAGTTTGTTTTTTATGTAGTTTCTTCATCACACACAGATCTAGAGTTGTGTTTTGTTTCATTCACACATGTTTAACACACAAAACCTGCATTTAGGCTGAGTTCTTCTCTCAAATGAAACAGAAAACGCTGAAAACAGAAACAAAAAAAAGTGAAAAAATGCACAAAAGCTTTTTTATTTTTATTTTTAAATGTTGTTTCGGCAAAAAGCCTTCGTCAGATCATTTTCCTTGCTTTGGACCAAGGTATACATACATGAGTTCTTCTCTCAAACAGAAAACACAAAGAAATTAGGACTGGGTATCATTAAGGAGTTGCCGATACGATACATATCTCGATACAGTGCACTTTCGATTCGATATGATATATTTCAAATCAATTCGATGCGGTTCAATAAAAAATAAAGGCTAAATCGTGGCTCTGATACTAAAAGGCTTTGTGAAATCACTTCTTGTGAAAAGTTCATATGAAACACAAACATTTTAATCCTCAAAACAGTAAAAATGTCAAATGTGTCTCATAAATGAGCTTCCTTTCACTCCACAAGCAACAAAAATGTAGCACTGTAACAAAATAATTTAGTAAAACACACCTAAAAATACTCTTGGTGAAATATCGATACAGTAGCCCACGATATCGATACTGTATCATCACATTAAACGATACGATATATCAATATTCCGATATTTTTGCACAGCCCTAAAGTAAATGTATAAAAAGCAATTGTATGTTTTTAAAAGTAGTAAAGTATGTAAGAATGACTAAATTAATCTGCACAAAAAAGTTAATTAATATTGTAAAAATAAACAAACAGAAAACACTCCACCTGTTCCACCTTGTGATGTCATAAAATGAAGTATTTTTAAGACGATTTCAAATAAAGTATAAAAAACAACTGTATGTTTTTAAAAGTAGTAAAGTATGTAAGAAATACTAAAATAATCTGTAAATAAATATGTAGTAGAATGTAGTAAAAAATGAACAAAAAACGTTAAATAATGTTGTAAAAATAAACAAACAGATAACACTCGATTCCACCTTGTAATGTCATGAAATAGAAAGTGTAGGAAGTGCTCCACTGTGTTTTTCAACTCAATGCACTTTCACTAGAATCGTGTGGATAATTTCAGCCCTGGAATTGCCAATCTACTGAATTAAAGTAAAAAAAATCGCTTCATGACACAGAAAACGCACACCAAAATTCCTGTAGAGGTGCAAATGCAAGGAGCAAAAGACAAGTGAAAAAATGCATCGCACAGTCCGATGGCCGATGTCCAAAAGCTTTTTCATACAGAGGCGGTTTTACCATTAGGCAAAAGTTGGTGGGTACGTAGGGCCCCCAAACCTGGAGGGGCCCCCAACCAATGTCCCTCAGTGCCACTAATGGGCGAGGCCTCAGCGCAATTAGATTTTCTTTCAATATGACAATAAATGAGATTAGTTTATTTTTAATCATAATCTTATGATGTACCTGTACAACAACTCACCCTTATGTAACAGATAATACTCCCTACAACTGTACAACAACAGATAATACTCCCTACCACTGTACGACAACTCACCACTATGTAACAGATAATACTCCCTACAACTGTACGACAACTCACCATTATGTAACAGATAATACTCCCTACAACTGTACAACTCACCCTTATTTAACAGATAATACTCCCTACAACTGTACAACAACTCACTTTTATGTAACAGATAATACTCCCTACAACTGTATAACAACTCACCACTATTAACAGATAATACTCCCTACAATTGTATGACAACTCACCCTTATGTAACAGATAATACTCCCTACAACCGTACAACAACTCAGCCTTATGTAACAGATAATGCTCCCTACAACTGTACAACTCACCCTTATGTAACAGATAATACTCCCGACAACTGTACAGCAACTCACCTTTATGTAACAGATAATACTCCCTACAACTATACAACAATTCACCCTTATGTAGTAGATAATACTCCCTACAACTGTACAACAACTCACCCTTATGTAACAGATAAACATGTGTGAATGAAACAAAACACAACTCCAGCTTTGTTTTTGACGAGGTAACAACATTCTAACAAGAGTATGGGACCTTTAAAGTAAAGTAGAAATAATAAAGTCACAGTAAATGTTGTAAAAGTAAAAGTACTTTGGGGGCGACACTAAACTTAGACTGTCATATGTCATTTGTGCACTGGTGTATTTACTCTCTATTAGTTTGGACGCACTGAATGTCTGTAGCAGTAGCGGGGGCACACACAGGGAGACCGCTTCATGTACGTGTGCAGAGATTTGGAGTGCTGCTTAAGTGAGATTTTTAAAAGTTTTATACAAAGACGTGAGTGAACTGTAAATGATAAAGTCTATTTAAATAAACAAGATTGTAGAATTATAATTGTTGTTTGAATTGTCTGCTTCTTCTTTGTGTTACGTCACAAAACCGGAAGACATTTAGAAAGATGCAGATGATGACTTCCTCTGGGCTCTGTTGGCGATAACTAATAAAATCTTGGCCCGGTTTTCTTCATCTTTCATCTCATTCTTCATTGTATTCTTTCTTTTTCCCTTTTAGAAACTGCCTATTCATTTGTGTATTATAATTTGTCTAACTTAACCCCAAAAAAAGGTGTCATTGTAGTTTTCCGTTATGTTCAGCAGATCAACAGTTTCACCCAGCTGCCTGTAAGAAACACAGACTGGAAATTTTTGGCAGATTGTGAAGACGCTGCTGCTGAATCTATGGTTTTGTCACATGCCCACAGTCGGGAACTTCACTAGAAGTTGTCATCTACATGTTTCCAAACATCTTCATGTCAGCGTGAACAGAGCCTATTGATTGACTGTATGGCAAAAGTTGAAATTCTGCATTTGTTTCTCATCTCTCTCTTAAATGTGGGTCTATACTTAAGGTTATGGCACACTTTGTTGTGAATTTTGTCTTCTACATTTGACCCAACCTTCAGGGCCACTGTGTTGAAGCTGTAAGGAGCAGCAGAACCCGTCTCCAGAGCTTGAGCTGGTGCCCAGAGGTAACCCACCCGGACGCAGGGAGAACGTGCAAACTCCACACAGAAATGAAAGGCAAGGCAAGTTTATTTGTATAGCACAATTCGTACACAAAGTAATTCAAAGTGCTTTACAGAATAAGAAATACATTAAAATCATAATAAAAACAAATCAAAACATAAATAATCATGAAGATTAAAATTAGAAAAGAGAGACATAAATTGGAGAGAAGAGTGCGGAATGAAAACCTTTCAGTTATATGCACAGTTAAACAGAAATGTTTTGAGCCTGGATTTAAACAGCGTCACAGAAGAGTCTGTCTCACATGTTCAGACTGTTCCAGGTTTTAGCTGCATGAACCTGAAACGCTGACTCCCCTTGTTTAGTTCTGACTCTGGGCACCAGCAGGAGGCCGGTCCCTGAGGTCCTCAGAGTGCGAGATGGTTCATATGACACTAACATGTCACAGATGTACTTTGGTGCTCGGCCATGGAGAGACTTGTACAAGCAGAGCTGCTTTAAACTCTATTCTCTGAGGCACAGGAGCCAGTGCAGAGACCTGAGCACAGGACTTATGTGCTCGTACTTCCTAGTTCGAGTAAGGACCCGAGCTGCAGCGTTCTGGATGTTGTGCAGCGTCTCACAGCTCGTTTGGAGAGACCAGTGAGCAGACCATTACAGTATCTAACCTACTGGAGACAAACGCATGGATAAGTTTCTCCAAGTCTGATTTAGACAGTAAACCTTTGATTTTTGCTATGTTTTTTAGATGGTAAAATCCTGCAGATGTTATTGATTTGATGTGGCTGTTAAAGTTCAAGTCTGAGTCCATTATTACACCGAGATTTCTTGCCTGATTTGAAGGTTTTAGAGAGAGAGACTGGAGGTGACTGCTGACACTGTCCCTTTGTTTCTGTGGACCAAACACTATGACTTCAGTCTTGTCAGAGTTTAGCTGGAGAAAGTTGTTTTGCATCCACACACTGATCTGTTGGATGCAGTGACAAAGTGAGTCCATACTCTCCTGCTGCCCGAGAGACATAGATCTTGCCGTATTTTTCAGACTGTAAGCCACACTTAAAATCCTTTAATTTTCTCAAAAATCGACAGTGCGCCTTAAAATCCGCCTTATGTATTCATTCTGGTTGTGCTTAGAGACCACACCACTCCTGTCCTTAAGCAACTCCACTGGCTCCCTGTACAATACCACATCCAATACAAGGTCCTCCTCATCACCAGTGTTGGGGAGTAACAGATTACATGTACTGGAGTTACGTAATCAGAGTACATATTATGAGTAACTGCATTCAGTTACAGTTACTGTTTCAGTGAATGGTAATTGGATTACAGTTACTTTGTTGAAATAAATAGATTGCACTTACAATTATTACAATTACAATTTCCTGTTTTCACATCATTTTTATTTTATTTAATTAATTTTTTTTATTTTTTTTAAGGTAATTCCACTCATTGCTGGAAACTAAACCAGGACTAAAACCAGGTCTAAACTACATCTAAACCAGGACTAAATCAGGACTAAAACCAGGACTAAAACCAGGTCTAAACCAGGACTAAAACCAGGCCTAAACTAGAGCTAAACCGGGTCTAAACCAGGACTAAACCAGTACTAAAACCAGGTCTAAACCAGGAGCTACTCTCACCAGGCAAATCTTTTTCATGTTTTCTGTGTCCTGGTGAACTTTTTTCCACTGGACACAGACACATATGTGCTGCTTTGTACACTGTGCACATGGATTCACACTTGTCCCGATCGGAACGGAAAGCGTAAAATTTCTTGTACAAGTCATCGTTAAATACGCATTTGTGCTTCGGTACGTTGCAGACTGACCGACTGTTTGTGTTTGCTCGCTCCTTCTGAGTGCAGAGAGCTACATGTACAGACCCCTGTTTGGTCACTTTATGCACAGCAACCTGCATTCGGTTTGTTGATGAAAATTAATGTAATCGATGAAATTCTTAATGATCAATTATCGATTAATCGACTAATCATGCCCATCCCTAGTTTAAACATTTTCATATTTGGACATTTTTTGAGCTCATTACTCATAGAGTTCCAGATTTTGACCCCACAAACTGAAATACAGAAACTTTTTTTTTTTCTTGTTGTTCGGACTCTGGCCATTTTAAAGACATGAATTCCCCTTAAATTATAAGTTGTCTCCTTTTCCCTAAAAAGTTTCTGAATATTTTTTGGTAACTCCTCAGCTGTTCATTAAAACTACCTTCAGGATTTTGATTTTGAGCACTATTAAAGTGCCCGTACTACACTATTTTCTGATCTATGTTGAAATATTTCGTCCTCACAAACAGGTCTGTAGTTGTCGAATGTTTCACACACAAACCCTGCACATTCAGGCTGAGAACAGAAGTAAAGGTCAAAGGGAGTTCACTTGAAAACTATGATCTTATGGGACCTTTTACGTTTTTTCCTTCAAATTACGTACATTGCGAATTACATGTCCAGATACTTTTACAATTACTCACCCTCGGGTCACAAACTTGTACTCCTAAATGAGTAATAATATTTTTTGTATGTCTGCCCACCTGTTTCTATCGAATTCTTCTCTGACCCATTTTTCTAGTTTTGGTTTTATTTTTTGTTTCCAGTACAGAGATATTGCGTAAGCAGCTCTTGAGGACAAAACAAGTCCTCTGTTTGCTGTTTGCATCGAAGTATAAAGCGTTCTATTGCCCAAGAAGCAGGAAGTGCACTGTTAACATGCTAAAACTCCACTCTGACATGAATAACTTTAAGATCAGTTACAAATTTGAATAGCTTTCATACTTTTTGCATCAATTTTACAATAATATTATGTGATACTGTAATTGTATCATTATTTAGTAGTAGTAATAGTAGTAGTTGTAGTAGAAGTAGTAGTAGGGTCCGGTCAAGCGGTAACGGAGGGAAACAGGGGCAGATTTTTTACATTCAAATAGCTCTTATTCAGAAACTAGAGGGACTATTGAAATAAGTAAAGTATCAGAATGTAGGAAAGAGTTAACACTCCAACAGGGTAAAGTTAAACTTGTGATATTCTTTCAAGTTGTTGACAAAAAATTTAAAAACTCATGTCGGTAACGGAGGGAATGAAATATGCGCCACTTTTTGGGCAATAAATACAAACAGTGATAACTAGCGGTTCTCACTTACATATCCTTAACAAACTGGTTTGAATATTTGCTTCATCTAGTTTTCTACCATATGGTACAAGATTAGGTTGAAAAATGTCTTACTTTTTGAGTAATGAGATTTTTTATGAAGAAAGGTCATGGTAACGGAGGGAAAAGTAACAGAGGGAAAATTGTGCAAGCAAGTAGAAGGTGCATGATTTTGTATAATTTGTCATCTTTTTTCTTCCGAATACTTTAATATTACTTCAAAATGAAAGGAAACTATTTCTATAAAATATGTCAGTCCTTCCAAGCAAATTTTTATCATTTTAAATACATTTTTTTTTTTTTTAAATCATGTACCTTCATCAACAGTTCAAAGATGGAATAACACAAGATATGATGAAATACATCCATTTATTTACATGATTTTCAGGTCTTTGAAATTTGGGAAATAATTTTTGTTCCATGTTTCATACATGGTCTGTTTAAAACGTATGTAACTTTAGAACCAAAAATGGTACAGAAAAAAGGTCAACAGTTTCATAAACTAGAGTACATATGCTATCTGTTCTGAATACATTTTTATATCATATGCATTAACTTGAATTTTTGGCCTTGCTGTTTACTTCTGCTTGACCGGGCCCAGTAGTAGTTTATTTTCTTCAGTCGTGTACTTAATCATTTACTTACTAGACTGTAACAAACATTTCACATCAAACTGTGACCAAAGGGGTGAAATCACTTGTGAATGTCTGACCCTGTTTACAAAAAAGCGATGCTAAGAACACGACTGTCAACAAACAACAAGCAGCAACTTGGACAGCACAGAGAGAAAAAACAAACAAAAAACAACAATAATAATAATAATAATAATAATAACAGTCATCATCATTCAGTACTGCAGTTCTTATGAGTAAACTCTCCACTTCCTACACCTACACCTCCTTCAGAATCATTAACATTTATCCTGTACACTCAGCCACTTCCGTTGAATCGACATTATTATCTTATTGTCTCTGTGCAGTAAGAATATGTCTTTAAAGGTTGTATGGAGGATTTTTTTTTTGTTTCAAATTGTAAATGAAAGTTTAAAATACCATTACAGAGACGCAGCAGCCTTGTAATTATGTTGACCAAAAAAAAAAAAAAGAATGAAAATCTATCAGCTGTGGACGTAGTGAGGCCAGATAAACATCAGCCAATAGAAAACAAGGCTCCCTCATTTTCTATTGGCTGTTAGGTCGTCAATCAAAC